TCATTTCATTTCCACATAGAGTCTGGAACCGCTCCATTGAGAAACGTTTCCTTCCTTGTAGGCGGGTTCACTATTAAAGTTCAAATCTATTGGATCTGCCCAAAGTCACTCACGATCTGCCATAGCCAATCGCTAACGGGGTGTCGTGAGTGACGTATGTCACGCGCCGAAGAGGATTATGTTACGAGCGCCGCAGGTTTTGTTAATCTAGGAACAATTTTAATTCGAAATGTATATTTGACACGAAGGACAGTGATACATCAAACGGTGGAAGCTGTGTCTAATCATTACAAATACGCCGCTGTGGTCGTTTTCTGATCTGCCGCAAATGCTGTAACGTTAGCTGCTACAGTGAATGATCAGTCTGTCTCTATCTGCAGATGTGTAATAAACAACAATTTTTCATATTACGTCTTATTGTTTCTTAATTACCTTAATTTTGGTCTTCAAAGTATGTGTTTGTACATTTTTATATGGCATTTAGTTTTTTTTAGTAAAACAAATCAACCATTGCCATCTAAAACTGAAAATCAAATATCTTCAAAGTATGGTTTTTCACATTTTTATTTATGACAATTATTCTTTTTAAATCACAACCAATTTGTATGATTTACAACATGTAAAACTGACACACCAACCTACTGCACGAGTGCACAAAGGGGCTCAAAATGTTCTATTCATCACAAGAATCAGTAACTATACAGTTGGGAATATGAGTGACTGACATGACTCCTGAGCGGATCTTCAACAATAGTTTAGCAGCCAGCACTCGGGGCTTCCGAACACCGCGAACACCAGGCTAAACCGTCCGTCCAAAATGTCACGGTCATCGTGCACGAACTGCCCAGCACAAACTTCCAAACTTTCTGCCTCCTTCACTTGGTCCTCAGTTGTGCAACAAGAGGTTAGACGATAACAATCCGGCTTTAAATTCTGTATATTCGGCAGTTTCTTTTCCAACAACGGACCGAATAGCTTTTCTCACGTCTTTCTCCGCTGCCATTACTGAACTGAAACTGACGCGCTTACATCAATGTCATCGTTCTCAGCCACTCCCTCTATTCGCTGATTGGTCCTACAAAAAATTGATTTCTGGAAACCTAAGGATATGGAGCGGTCCCAGACGCAGTACTGAAGTAAAATGAAATTGAGCGGAAGTGCCTAGGAGGGCGCAGCCAGGCTAGATATTGGGTTCTTCGGTTCCGGTTGCCATCGTTTACATCAGTGGACCGGCTATCTAAAGCTTAGCAATCTAAATAGATTTATCTAAAACTATGTTCATTTGTTCATAGTCAAGTCAATCAACACAGTTTTTTTTCACACATATTTGGGTGGAGCCAGGCGCTGTTGCATTGTGAAAAATAGCCAAGCAGTCGCTTTACAGAGTGGAGCTTTGCGTATCCATGACAACTAGACGGAAGTTTTTAGGCTACTAATTATTTATTAGTATTATTATTATAATGGTGCATTGTCCTGCATAAAAATCATGGACTTCTTGAAAGATGGAGACTTTTTCCTGTACCACTGCTTGAAGAAAGTATCTTCTAAAAACTGGCAGTAGGTTTGGGAGTTAATTTTGAGTCCATCTTCAACCCGAAAAGGTCCAGCTAGCTCATCTTTAATAATACCAGCCCATACCATTACCCCACCTCCACCTTGCTGTCGTCTGAGTCGAAGTGGAGCTCTGTGCCCATTACTGATCCAGCCACGGGCCCATCCATCTGGCCCACCAAGAGTCACTCTCATCTCATCCGTCCATAAAACCTTTGAAAAATTTATATTCAGATATTTCCTGGCCCAGTCTTGACCTTTCAGCTTATGTTTCTTGTTCAATGGTGGTCTGATGTCTATGAGCACTGAACACCCTTGGACTTCTGGGAAGTCCAGGTTGCAGTTCTGGAATATGACAGCACTGGAGGATTATGGGTTCCTGGTGCACCGGATTATAAGGCGCATAAGATACTGCAGTCACACGTTTGACTGGGTTTCCGTTATGTATCCACTAACGTTAGATGTGCTAAAGGGAATGTAGCGAGTGCGCGGTGCCGGAGGTGATGTGTTTATTAGTAGCCTAAGCATGATTGCGCTGGGGCGGGCACGTAACTTACATTCGCAGCCTGACTCATATGCGCTCTTGAGCGGACGCGTTACTTACACACAAAACCTGATTTATACGAGGTTGAACTGGCCGTGTGACAAAGCGGGCATAAGATGGACACGAGTGCGAGTTCGCGGGTGAATTTAATAACGCGGAGCGTTAATGAACAATTGATCCATATATAAGGCGCTCCAGATTATAAGGTGCACTGTCGTTTTTTTGTAAAAATTAAAGGCTTTTAAGTGCGCATTATAGTGTGGAAAATACGGTAATTTGCGTTTTGTTTTTCTCAACACGTTTCTTGCGACTCTGTTAAGTGTTTTCTACAAAACGTTTGATGGTTCTGTGATCACGGCCCAATATCTTAGCAATTTCAAGAGCGCTGCATCCCTCTGAAATACTTTTTTAAATTTTCGACTTTTTTGGCCTATTTTGCCTGAGGAAAAGAAGCTGCCTAATAATTATGCACACCTTGGGTGTTGATCTCCTGAGGCCACACCCTCCCTCATTACACAAAATACATCACCTGAAAATGATTAAATCCAATAAGCATTCAAGTTTATACAGCTTGGAGTTGGAAAAAATACATACAAATGATGATATGGTCAAAATAATCACACAGCAATTCTGAACACAGCGTGCTTAAGTAAAAGTACAAATAAGACATATTTACTTTAGTAGAAGTACCACAATGGCAACCCTACTTAAAAATAGTAAAATGACCTGATTTTAAATGTATTGAGTATTAAGTATAAAAAGTGTCAGTCAGTCCACTAGGGATTTTCATTTGAATTAATGACTAGACGTTTATATTTTTTGACTGTGAGAGGAATTTGCAGTTGGTCCCTTTAGAAAATGCGGGGAATATCAAATCTAAAACTTACTTTACTGCTCTCTCGGACCGGTTGCTAAACATGCTAAGTTAAAAGCAACTACAGAATGTATCAGAATGTCAACTGCAGAATTTTCTTTTTAATAGGCTCAGGAAGGAAAATGCCATTAACGTTATAAGTTGTGCATCGCGTGTATGTAAGCTCTGTATAGGCTATGTAGTTTTCCTCCCATAGATTCTATTATGAATAAGCTTAAGCAGTAAGACAGTGATCTTAAAACTCAGTAGCCGATACACCTCATTGAACATGCAATGCGCTATGAAACGTTTTATAATGGTTTTCTATGGGTGTTGTTCATAATCTGATTGCCTCTATAAAGTATGCTTTATTAATAAGGTAGGCCTATATTGCGTACTAAATTTAGCGCTTCAATATCACTCACATTAAGCATCTTAAATGTTGAAGAACGCTTGATTACGCTGCCGTCGTCATCTAGTGGTAGCAGGTTTTCTCAGACAGTGTGTCTGGATCTTGCAAGGCGAAACCAGCGAAATGAAAGTATCAAAATCCAAATGAATCCAAAAGGATTGACTCAGGAACGAGTCAATAAATGCACACGTGTCACCTCATCCACAAATGCACATCTTACTTGTTGCATGAACAAATTCTTCAATTTTGTTACATTAAAACAAAATTGAGGTTTTGTATTAACAACTATGTCTCTATTTGTACAAAATGCTACACATTCATGTGATTCTGGATTTTCCACACAGAAGTTGTATTGTGTTTAGTTTAAATGTGGCGATGCACACTTTATTACCCAAATAAATGGGTAGTTTTGCACACATTAATAATTAGCACTAGGCCTATTCATTTGTAGTGATTTGTTTGTGGGTTGTGAAATGCTTAAAAACGGCGAAAAGAAAGTCTCAAAATCCAAATGAATCAAATGAGACCGACTCAGAAAATAATTCAATGAATGCATGTGCGCCACCTGATCCACACATGCACATTTTTTTGTTGTTGTTGCATGCGCAAATTATGAAAACATTTGTATTCACACAGATTTCTCTATTTGTACAAATTGCTACACATTCATTCAATTTTGAATTTCGCACACGTAAGTTGAAAGTTATGGATAAAACATTTCTGCAACGTGTATCAAGTTCATTTATAATTGTGCTTGCACGTGTTAATAATTTTGATACTGTATTCATCCCATAGAGATTCCACTAATGTTATGTGTTTGGTTTGACCTGCAGGACTTTCCCTGTTACATAACACATCATATTAAAGTCCCTTGCTACTTGTTTTTCTTTCTCTGCTCTTCATACCTTGTCAATTCCACTCTCTTCCAGTTATCTTCTGTTTCATTAAAAATAGCTTTCAGGGCCTCGCTGTTCAACTGTAACAATTCAGTTAATATTAATTTTTGTTTGCTTGATTTTTCTGCAGTATTTTTGCATAAGGTAAATGGTTTGAGTTGGAGTTGTTTTATTATACTTAAAAGGTGGTTTAAACGGGTGTTGTTTTTTTCTCTGTCGTCTTTTTCCTATTCAGTGGATTGTGTGTGTAAAAAATGAAGTGAGGGAGTCAGCTGCACTAAAGATGACCTAGAAACATCTCCATGGTCCCTATCCTCAAAGCTCATGTTTTCATTTATCACCATGCATCCCTCCTTCCTGTAGACCTTTTCTCACTTTCTCACCCTCTCATCTTTCCATCCCTCTGTCTCTTTGTTTGTGGGTCCCCTGAGCTTGGTGGTGAGTTTAGAACAGTAAAGCTGGGCCGGCTGACTCTGGCTATGAGAAAATTGGGTTTGACTTTCTTTCCTTCTCTCTCTTTTTATTCCCACAGCTTGAAAACAAATAAAACTTTAGCTGGGAAATATCAGACAAGCGTGAGAGAAAGTTTGAGAGCACTCCTTTAAATATAAAGTATTCAAAAGGCTTCAGGAATAATAAACCAAAAACTATATACTGTATAGAGGAAACCGTCTTTTTTATATTCCTAGCATATTAGACAGTTTGCAAAAGCACCAACAGTTTAAAGATAATTTTGTCTTGTAGACCATAAGCCAGAAGACGCCAAAAGATTCGATCCTTTACGAGGCATGTAAAAAAGCTCTGCATGCTGTCAGCAAGGTAAGAAATTCCATGAATTACCAATGTGGATTTTTCTAGTGTTGTCTAATACTAGCATTGTATACTTAGTTAATAATCAACATCTTTTGTCTGTGTGTGTATATGCAGCTTGTGAGGAAATGTAATGAGGGCGCTCGTACAATGGAGAGAACGGAAATGATGTACACCATCAATTCCCAGTTGGAGTTTAAAATTAAGGTAAGAGAATAAAACAACCTGTTAAAGGAAATTTATGATTCACTATTTACATATATTCATTATACTGTATATACTGAAAATAACTCAACACACAGCTATTATTGTCAAAATAGTTGGCAACAAACGTGAGTACACCCTAAGTGATAATAGCTGTATGTCTTTTAACCATGCAAAGCCACATGTCCTATTCATCATGTTCATGTTTTCACCTGCTTGACAGGACCAAACAAATTGTTGTATCTTGTATTAGAGCAGATAAAATTTGTGGTTTAAATACAATCCTCTCATACTGACCATTGGATGTTCGACATGTCACCTCATGGCAAATAACTCTCTAAGGATTTGAAAATTAGAATTGTTGCTCTCCACAAAGATGGCCTAGGCTATAAGAAGATTGGTAACACCCTGAAACTGTATTATAGTACAAACCAGGGCCATACACAGGTTTTCCAAGACAGGTTCCACTTGGAACAAGCCTCACACGGGTCAGTCAAATAAGTTGAGTCCTTGTGCTGTGCGTCAAAAGTGGAAGGTCAGCTTGTCAGTGCTCAGACCATCCACACACTACAACAAGTTGGTTTACATGGCCATCGTCCCAGAAGGAAGCCTTTTTTGGAGCTGGCTCACAAGGTTTGAAAGCAACCTGTCCAAGAGCATGTATTACTGGAACCATCTCCTGTGGTCTGATGAGACTAAGATGAACTTGTTTGGTTCAAATGGTGTCTAGCATGTGTGGCGATGCCCCTGTGAGGAGTACCAAGAAAATTGTGTCTTGCCTGCAGTCAAGCATGGTGGTGGTAGCATCATGGTCTGGGGCTGCATGAGTGCTGCTGGTACTGGGGAGCTGCACTTCTTTGAGGGAAACATGGATTCTAACTAGAGGATGGATACCCGAACCGAGCCCGAAGGGACCCGACGGTACCCGACGGGCCGGGCCGGGTTCGAACAAATATTTTGAAATGACGTTCGGGTTCGGGTCGGGCTCGGTCACGTCGGCGCGATAAGGCATTTAACATTTGAAATTTAAAACAGTTTTATTATATTGTTTAACTGGATGCAAATGTTTGTTTTTGTGATTAAAATAAATTTTAAATATTACCCTAACCTCCATCTCCATGTGTGCGGAAATTTGTTTATGTTGCTGTGACAACGTGCAACACGTGCGTGCATAATATTGCATATTGGGCTACATGTGGCTGGCAGCGCAAAAATGGAAGACGTTAAAAAGAAATTGGCCTCAGGAGATTTTAAAACCACCGAAAATAAAGGAAAGTCGGCTGTGTGGAAGTTTTTCTACATTGTTGTCAAGGCTGATAGTGATGAACATGTTGGTTATGTTCAATGTAAGAGTTGTGGATTTCTCATGAAATATGACAGCAAGAGGACCGGGAATTCCGCCTTGCAGCGTCATGTGGATAAAAATTGTAAGTCACCTGGGCTACTGCAGCCGAGTATCACTGCCTTTGCTAGTTCCTCAAAAAAAATTCCTCAGCAGGACAAACAAAAACTGACTAAAAAAATGCGTTGAGTACTGCTGTAAAGACATAAGGCCATTTCGTTCCATTGAAGGAGAGGGTTTCATTGAGCTGGCCCAGCAGCTTATTAACATCGGTGCAACATATGGTTCAGTGGCAGCGCAGGATGTACTGCCTGATCCCACCACTGTGTCAAAACGGTGCCGTGAGCTGGCAATAGAGAAACGCGCAAAGCTGGTCGAGCAGCTAAATGATACTCTGTCTGAGGTGAATTCAATGGAATGACAACGGATATCTGGACGGAGGACTACCACAAATTAAGCTACTTGACCATCACTTGCCATTTCGTGACACGATCATTTAAAATGATAAGCACCGTATTAACAACAGTCGCATTCCCACTGGAAGAGGCTAAGACGGGGGAGAATATTAGGAGAGAAATCATCAGACTTCTAACGGAGTATGGCCTGGATATGAGTCTGCTGAATAAAGTGGTGTGGGTCACAGACCAAGGCTCAAACATCATCAGTGCCCTGAGACCATATCGAAGACTTGACTGCCAAGATCATGTGTATAATACGGTGATGAGACACGCCCTAGACCCCACACAGCTGGCCAAAGATGCTCCAAATGTTGCAGACACTCTGCAAGCTACCAAGGCACTTGTCAAATATGTCAAAAAGTCGGGCATGGCAGCTTTGCTGTCAAAAACAGTCATCCAAATGGCAGACACAAGGTTTAGCACGGTATATCTGACCTTAAATTCTGTCCGCTCCGGTTTATCAAGAACTACGCGAAAAACTAAATGATCGCGCAGAGGGCTGGCGGATCGATGCCATATCTCCAGATGTCCTTGACTTTCTTGTCGAGTTCCTGCAACCATTTTACGATGCCCAGCGTGAACTTGAAGGTGACCAGTACCCAACGATAAACCTAGTGTTTCTGTGGTTTGAGCGGCTGAAGCGCCACTGCAAAAAAAAAACGACTGACAGCCCCTATCAAGCCATCATCCGCGAGCGGCATCTCTGTTGGATTTTGCGTAAAGTGGAGATCCAAGAACTCCAAAAAATTGCAACTTTCCTTTGGCCTAAATATAGCCAGCTCCGAATGTTGTCCTCCTCAGAGAGAGACAACCTTCTCCAGGAGGTTCGGAGACAGCTCAGTGACATCCCATTCCGCACCCAGGAGACCGCCACTGAAGGACCCGCGCCCAAGAAAGCTGCAGTTGACTTTGACGACGAGTGGGAAAATGTACCTGTGGCAGATGCGACAGACGAAGTCGAGATGTACTCGACTCAAAATCATACAATGCAGGATGACAGAGATGTTTTGGGCTGGTGGAGCGATCATCAACTCAACTACCCGAAGCTTAGTGTCCTTGCCCGCGGCATCCTTGCTATTCCAGCCAGCAGCAGCAGCAGTGAGCGCAACTTCAGTGCTGCTGGCAGGACCATCGAGCAGAGGAGGACAGCCTTGAAGCCATCCACCGTTGATGCAATCCTTTTTCTGCATAAGAACCTGGATTAGCCTAAACCTTGAAGGATAGATTATGTGAATCCCATGTTACAGTTAGCCTCACAGTTTCCGAGAAAAATGGTAAGAGACGAGTGATTTTCATTTCAATAAAGCTCATAGGCCTACGTTTAAAAAGTGTTACGTTAATGTTTTGTTTTGTTAGCTTGGGTAATTTAATATAGACCTAGCTTTGTTAATTTAATTTCAATTGGTTTATTTGTTTGGGCCTCTTGTGCGCGCCTGTGTTAACATGCGCTGTTTTGGCCCTGTGTGGTGCTGATGCGTTGCGCACATCTGTAAACATTTTCCGAATGCCTTCCAGTTGCTAAATAAAAGTGGGCTTTCAACACAAACAAACGTACGTGTCATTAGTATGAGAAAAAAAAAGAAGATTTTTAACTGTGTCGGGCTCGGACATAAATATCTTAATGCCTGTCGGGCTCGGGTCGGGTTCTGGTGCTGCCCTGTCGGACGCGGGTCGGGCTCGGACAGAAAAATGCGGCCCGATCCGCACTCTATTAGGAACACCATACTAATACTGTGTTTGACCCCCTTTCGCCTTCAAAACTGCCTTATTTCTACGTGGCATTGATTCAACAAGGTGCTGAAAGCATAGAAATGTTGGCCCATATTGATAGGATAGCATCTTGCAGTTGATTTGTGGGATGCACATCCAGGGCACGAAGCTCCCGTTCCACCACATCCCAGTGAACATACAGTCATCATGATCATTGTCTTGTGCATTATCCTGCTGGAAGTCATCAGAGGATGGGGACATGGTGGCCATAAAGGGATGGACATGGTCAGAAACAATGCTCAGGTAGGCCATGGCATTTAAACGATGCCCAATTATCACTAAGGGGCCTAAAGTGTACCAAGAAAACATCCCACACACCATTACACCACCACCAGCAGCCTGCACAGTGGTAACAAGGCATGATGGATCCATGTTCTTATTCTGTTTACGCCAAATTCTGACTTTACGATCTGAATGTCTCAACAGAAATCGAGACTCATCAGACCAGGGAACATTTTTCCAGTCTTCAACTATCCAATTCTGGTGAGCTCTTGCAAATTGTAGCCTCTTTTTCCTATTTGTTGTGGAGATGAGTGGTACCCGGTGGGGTCTTCTGCTGTTGTAGCCCATCCGCCTCAAGGTTGTGTGTGTTGTGGCTTCACAAATGCTTTGCTGCATACCTCGGTTGTAACGAGTGGTTATTTCAGTCAAAGTTGCTCTTCTATCAGCTTGAATCAGTCGGCCCATTCTCCTCTGACCTCTAGCATCAACAAGGCATTTTTGCCCCCAGGACTGCCGCATACTGGATGTTTTCCCTTTTCACACCATTCTTTGTAAACCCTAGAAATGGTTGTGTGTGAAAATCCCAGTAACTGAGCAGATTGTGAAATACTCAGACCGGTCCGTCTGGCACCAACAACCATGCCACGCTCAAAATGTCTGAAATCACCTTTCTTTTCCATTCTGACATTCAGTTTGGAGTTCAGGAGATTGTCTTGACCAGGACCACAGCCCTAAATGCATTGAAGCAACTGCCATGTGATTGGTTGATTAGATAATTGCATTAATGAGAAAATGAACTGGTGTTCCTAATAATCATTTAGGTGAGTGTGTGTATATATATATATATATATATATATATATATATATAATGAATGCAAGCAAAAATCTTTTAGAATCCTTCCACATGGTACAATGCAGACTTTGCATTGCTAAGAACTGATTGTCATGTTTGTGTAAATTGTTATCAGTGCTGTAAAGCATGACAGCAGTCTCTGTGGGGGGAATGGCGTGGGGTCTGATCTGTACGGTCATCCTCTAACGAACAGCTCATGGATAAACAAACGCATCTGCACTGCGGTCGACTCCAGCTCTTATCATTTTGAGAAGCAGAAGACAGCGATGATGAAAGTCCTGTCATACAGTCATCTTGGTGTGGGGTGTGAGATGAAATCATATAAAAAGAACTCAAAATTCAAATCCCAGGCCTCCACTATTTCATCTGATTGAAGGCCAAGTCTCATGTGGAGTCAAGAAAAACATCCTCAGACCTACAGTAAAAGAAAGAGAGAAGATACTAGATTAAATCTTAACTTTGAACACTTCAAAAAAAAATACAGTCCTTGCATGCAAACATTTGACACAGACTGCATCCTAAATCGCATTCTCTTGGAATATGTACTTCTTTTGAATAAGTAATTACTTTGCAACAATTAAAAGTATGTTCTACTCTGAAAAAATATTTGGTGTTGAAACAAATTTCATTTAGAAACTGCAAGTAAAATTCACAAACAAATTACAAAGAAATGGCAAGTAACACTGAATTAATTGTGAAATGTTGATGTAAAAACTGAAATGGTATGTATTTTCTTGTATTTTTTTTTTTTACAGTGATAGCCTACTATAAAATGAATGTGTTTAGTATGAATGCACCACATACTTAATGTTTTAATTTGCTGCATCCGAAATCGCATACTTTTTAGTTAAACGTGCAAAAAAAAGAATTCAAATAAAAGTAGTGAAGAGAGAAATTTTACAGCACTCTAAAGATGACCTCACTTTATTGTTTGTTCAGACTCATGGAAAAACCAAACACCCATGCTAGACTACTGTAATGGCCTTTAATACAATATGGCTCCATTTGTTGGCAGAGAAACGTATTTCTCTTTTTAACTTGGATCTCAATATTGTTTGGTGGATTTTGGGTTTTCTATTAAAGGGTCACTTCACCCATTTGCATTAAGCTTTGTATCTTTAGAAACCCAGTCATATTTTTGAATGGTCATGGTTTATTCCCTTATTTTCCCCTGATATGGGAGAAATAAGGATTTAAGTGTTTTACTTCCTGCTTATCATGACGTAAAAATTGTCATTTTGCGTCACGATAAGCAGGAAGTCATATTTCATTAAAATCTGTATAGACTACAAACATTAGCTCATTATTATTCCAGGTTGTGTGACCCACTCACCCTACAGGCCTATTACAGATCAGTGGGTGGGACTTCACTTTCAGAAACTGAAATCAATATCCGCCATCTTGTTTGGAAGCTAAGCTAACAAGCGCTGTGGAGATAGGAAGTTATGACAATGACGGAAGAAACTAAACATGATATTGAAGAAGAGGATTTTGAAGTTCTGCTGCTCGAATCCGATGTTGGTGGCTATCTTTACGAGCCGCAGTATAGTTTAGAGCAGCTGAGGCTCATGGAGGAACCGGAGGCGGCTGCCTGTCACGGTTGAGGAGCCCGGACTGGGTCGAGCTGAGGCGGACTGCTGTGCATGTGCTCTCGCTTCGTGCTACAGCCTACGGACACAGATAGAGTCCGTCTGCTGCAGAGAATTTCAACGATGGCAATTTCTCCTGGAGGAAATCTCTGAATCAGACGAACACACGGACGTTTGTGTTGTGATAGTTTCGCCTGACTAAACATCCAGGTATCATGCAGTAATTCACACCATATAGAAATAAATACAAACGAGGAGTAATTCACTAATGAGTAGTGTTAATTTCGTTAACGAAAACTAAACGAAAATATTTTCGTCAACGCACATTTTTCACCAAACGAAAACTAGACGAGACGAGACTAAAATCCCCACTAATAAACAATAACTGGGAGTAAATCAGAAATAATTTTCGTAGACTAATAAAGACGAGACGAAAATGCAGTTCGGTAAATAAAGACTGGGCTAAAATCTATGGACATTTTAGTTCACGAACAAAGACGAGACGAAAATTACATATTATTATATGATATGGTTTTGTCAAATCCTGTCTCCTCCTCCGCCTCCTCCTCGTCAGCTCTTCCGCCACACACACCCACGTTCAAACCTGGAGCGGGCGGGCACAGTCAGAGTAGCCTACACAACACACATGGAGCAGACAGGAGCTGGATTCACGGTGAGGCGGCGGCGACAGGTTAAAAGTAAAACATGCTTTGCACAGGGCTCGGGAGAAAGAAGAGACGTGATATATGGACACATTTTGTTACAATGATAAACTAACTAAACTGATGGCTAACTTTCATAGCATTTAGTATCCAGGCTGGCTATGTTGCGTTAGCTTCTTAGCACGTAGCGACCGTAGCCACTTGTTGATAGAATTGTATGTGAAGTTAAATTTATGCTAACTTAGATATGTTATACTGGCCGGGCAACTATAGTTTCAGTTACATTTGATTAAAGCAGACAGACGCTTTAAAAAGATTAGTTAAAAAGATTTCATACGTTCTAGCAAGCTATGCCTTGTTTCACCTTAAATACTGTACCTTTATATACCATGTGAACTAAGTTAGCTGGCAGGAAAGCACTTTTGTTGTATCAGTTGGAGTTTTTTTTTTTTTTTCACAACATTGACCTCAAATCTATTTATTTTATTATTCTATGTGAACTAGCTTTAAACAGCCAGCACTTGTGTTAAGTTCATAATACACTTTATTTTATTTATTTGTTTCCTTTGTCAGGTGTATTTTATTTGTTTTAATGCAAGCATTTGTGTTTGTGTCTTTGAACCTTAACAATGTCAAAAATAAATATGCAAATATTGTCAGAACATCTTCCATGTCTGCATGTGTTCCTTAAAATTGTGTTTTTTATCAAAAAGATGAGAAAATGTTGAAATGTGAAATAATTTTAGGAAATGTTAAATATTATCTGCTGACAAAAAAGTAAAAGGTTAAAATGATGTCCTGACTAAAACTAGACTAAAATGTTGACAGTTTTTTTTTTGACTAAAACTAAACGAATAAAATTGTTTTCTTGGACTAAAATAAAGACTAAAATGCTCGACTTATAGTCGACTAAAACTAGACTAAATAAAAATGGGATGATGTCGACTAAATGTGATAAAAACTAACAAGCGATGCTGAAACTGGACTAAAACTGAAACTAAATTTAAAAATGGCTGGTAAAATTAACACTACTAATGAGTTTGCCAATGTAACGTTAACGGGGTTTGTTGTTGTGGGAAGGAGGCGGGAACCGGCGAACATTTAAACATTTTAATAGTATAATGAACAAATACAAAACGAAAGTATAGCCCCTCATTGACGACTGCTGTAACGTTACAGACAACAGAAACAAAACATCATAAAATCAGGCCTGTTTCTCTCTCGATCTGCCGTCGACGATCCTCATTTTATGCTTTCGCTCCTCCGTGAGAGACACGAGACCGGCGCGCGCCTCACAAGTGTCTTTCATTATCACTCACGCCCAGGGCCGTATTAAGAGCTCACTGGGCCCCGGGGCTATGAGTTACTGCAGGGCCCCCCCCCCCACCACCACTTTAGGTCACCAACTACATGAGCTAAATGTTATATTATTATAGCCTACGAGTCATTTTATCCATGATATACTTCACAGTTAAGTTATGTTACTTTTAACATGATTTTTTTATCATATCAAAATGTATTGACTAAAATTTCATAATTATTGTGACCAATTTCAATATCACCAAAAAATAATAGTAGCTTAAGAAAATAATCTCAAGCTTACTGATGACAAGAGTCACAAATTAAAATAGAACAAAGGCACAATAAATCGACCTATGAAAAACTTAAAGCACTGAATAATATTATATAAAGTAATCAAATATACAATACATGGTTTTCACTATAAATTCAACATTCATTCTTGTTAATTTTGCAAAAGTAATTCAGTCAAATGCAGTAAATTACTTTCTTTCTGATGTTTGATTAACATTATTGACACACATGGCGACAGCAGCTTTATTAGCGGCGTCTGTCACTTTGAGACCTCAGAGTCGGATTCAAGTGCGCTGTGCAAAACCGTCTCAAGTTCACCACAGTCTATGGTTCACCTTGGTCTTAAAACCAGCATTTACAAAATAAATTCTCCCGCTGCTCACTGTGCCTGAGCAGTTTGAAATATTTTGTATCCAAACCACAACGTTTAAAAACGCGTTTAAATGATAAACTTACATCATGATGGCGCAGCAAAATTTAAATATTTCTACCGGATATATTATCGCCAGTCCTTTAGGCGAATATAGAGTTTAATCAAACACAAAAAGCAAAATTATACATCCATCAAGTTAATATTCAAACTTACCGAAAGTTTGTGAGGTCGATGATGACGCTGTGTTTTAAGAATAGACTAGAATGAAGAGAAGAGTAAAGGCGATTTATTGGTTGATATATAACCTCTAATAAGGCGCAGGCAGCAATCATCTATAGGCCTACGTGCAGCAGCAGCTGGTCGGTCGTTCACAAGTTAAATATAGAATAAATATATTTGTCATATCAAATTAAAACCTGACGTTTCAATTTACCATGCCCTGCTCAGAGCCGTTGGCCCTGCTGCCCACGGGGGTTTGATTGACAGGTGGCCTGGCCAATCATAACGCCGAATACGCAACTTTGTCCGACAACAAAGCTGTCAGTCGGTGGACATGAACTTGAAAACGGTAATGTTTAAATTACTTAAATGACAATATTTGAAAGTTGAGACTTTGTTTCATATCAACAGTAAGCTGCCCTGAACTCTCTCTCGTAATCACTCGGTGTAACGTTAGTCTTTGCCCCGCGAAGTATTTTTCACTGCGTGAGCGCATGAGAACATGATGTGCGTGACTCGCGAGAGCCGCCTGGCTCGTGGCCCGTCCGTCACATAGTACCTAAAAAAGGCGGGTCTTTGCGAACGTCTCTATTAATGATAATGATTCCATGATAAGGCAAAGTGCAACTAAATAACAGGGATAATTTGTGGGGGACGTTGCGTGGTAAGGCTTTGGTAATCAGATGGCTTGCAGTATCTGCTCCACAGCCAATCACGGGCCCCCTCCTTGCTTGGGCCCCGGGGCTTAAGCCCCGCCTAGCCCTATGGTTAATGCGGCCGTGCTCACGCCACCGGCCTCGCGCCTTTCCTCTTACGTCCCTCGCCTTCGATCGCCCTGCTCGCCACAACTAACTAACTAGACGTTTTGTGTGAAATGAATTTCAAACTCTGATGACAGCTAACGTTAGCCTTGTAGACGGAAGAGTGAATTCTCTGTTTGCGCTGTTCCGGATTGCGGAACTGTGCAATCCGGTGCATTGTGGGACTTGTAGTCCTTCAGACAAATGCGTCCCTTGGTTATTTTCTGTCTTTTCTCAGTCAAGAGGGCACCAAATCAAAAAATTATTTTACATTTCGACTACACACATGATCCACTTTTAATAAAGATTAATGTTGCAATGGGTGAAATGCTCCTTTAAAACGTCCTTAGTGTGTAAGAGTCAAAGGTGTTCATTCAGACCTGTTTATCGTGTACACCAATGATTGTTGGAGTAAGTTTGAGATCGGTTATATTGTAAAGTACGTGGATGATTGTGTGATTGTGACTCTTCTCCATGAACAGGATCTGAAGCACTGTGGCACAGGATCTATGGACTTTGTGTCGTGCTGCGATCACTTTTCTCTTTAGCTTAATGTTAATGAAACAAAGGACAAGTCCTCTGATGACAACAATTAAAAGTTTGGACATTGAAATTGTTGACACTCACAAATACTTTGGTGGTGGTCATTGACAATAAGTTGAGCCAATGTTCTGACTGTTTGTAAAAGGTTCCAACAAAGGTTGTATTTTTTGAGGAGATTAAAATATTTTAGAGCTTGATGATACTGTTTTACAAATAATCGATTGAATCTGTCCTTTCCTTTTGTGTTGTGTCATGGAATGGTACTCTAAGTTAACAAAAACAGGCTTAGTGGTCTTTGTAAAGGTAGCAGGGAAGAACATTGGTATTGATCAGACAGTCCTTCTGACATTTTTCAAGAAGGCTCAGGTTATTCTTTGTACTGTTGACCCTCCACTTCGAACTGAGTTCGAACTGAGAGCGCCTGCAAGCAGGACAAAAAGAACTAAAGATTAATTTGTGACTGTGGCCATTTAGGTACTGAACTGTTCAGGCCTGTAGGAGAGGGTAGGCTACTTAATATACATAATGAATGAATTAAGAATAGAGTTTGGTATGTTAATGTGTGTTTTGGGGCAATTAATTTTTTTATGGATGCAATAGTCTATTTGATATGTACTGTACATTAACATGGTTAGTGCTCATCGACAGGTAGTCGATACACATCTGAAAACAACAAACTAATCATGTTAGTAACCATAAGAATAGACTAATAAGAGGTGGAAATTCATGTGACTGATGAAAATAAACTAAAAGTCCATGAAAACGAAACTACGAACAAACTAACTGCAACAGATTTTAACTGAAAATGTTTTGAATCTTTAATATTGTTCGGTAACACTTTACAGTATGGCTCCATTAGTTAACAATAGTTTATTCATTAATGAAAAACACTTCTAAAGTCAATGTTAATTTCAAAGTTTTATGCTACATTATTAAAATCAAAAGAAGTAATTGTATTATTTAAATGACCTGAGATAGATAACATGAAATAAAGATGACCCGTTTTTTTTTAACTAACGTTTTTCAACGTTGATATCATTTAAGAACTAAAGTTAACTAATGAGACCTTATTTGTAAAAAAAAGTTACCTATTGTTCTTTATAATTCTTTCGCACATAAATCTATATGAAACATGATTACTTATATATATATCCACAAGTTTCCGAGGGGCACTCCTGTAAAAAATAAAGTGGGTGAAACTTCCGGTGACGCGGCGGAAGTAGCATTCCAATGGTATTTTGTGTGTTAGTTAGCGAAGAGGCTAGCTGTTTTTCGGAGAATTATTTTACTATTTAAAGACGCAAATCTTTATGAGAGATGTCGTTACGGAGCTCAGGAACAACATGTGCTGTTCGCGGTTGTATGTATAGCCGGACTAAACTAATTTAGTGGCTTAAATGGGATTGTTTTGAACATAAGCTGAAAACGAAATCAGAGTGATCCTGCCAACGACTGTAGTTTCCATCACCTCCCAAAAGACGACGAATCTTCCTGTGTACATTTGTTTAAATTCTTAATGTTCTATAAACTCTATCAGCATGTGTTTGGCTGTTCTCTACTGATGTTACAGCTAAACTCAGGATCAAAGCCTGTGTTGACAGAATAACAATGTGCCAGTTAATGTATTCAAGCAGCACATTCATTTATAATTTTGAATAAACTCCGACCAAAGCACAATGACTAAGTGTGTATTTTTTATTTTAATTGTTTGTCAGCTCACACAACTGTCTGTCACCATGCCTTGACGAGTATTGATTATTAATAATGTTATTATAATACTCCCAATCAACTACTGCGGAGGGTAAAGGTACTGTTATTTCACCCTTTTGAATTTCGTTGAGGTTGTGTTCCCACATCGTTAGCTAGTTTGGATCGCTATAACTTGAATGACTGTCAACTGTTGAATGAACGAGTGTCAAGCATGTCAAATCGCGCTTTGTTTACTTCCAACCGGAAGTCGCGCCCACTTTTGACGCAAGGCCTCATGGGGCGTAGGAAACTTGTGGATACAGGTCCTTCTCAAAAAATTTGCATATTGTGTAAGTTAATTATTTTCCATAATTTAATGATAAAAATTCAACTTTCATATATTTTAGATTCATTGCACATCAACTGAAATATTTCAGGTGTTTTATTGTTTTAATACTGATGATTTTGGCATACAGCTCATGAAAACCCAAAATTCCTATCTCAAAAAATTAGCATATTTCATCCGACCATAAAAAAAAGAAGTGTTTTTAATACAAAAAAAGTCAACCTTAAAATAATTATGTTCAGTTATGCAATCAATACTTGTTGGTCGGGAATCCTTTTGCAGAAATAACTGCTTCAATGCGGCGTGGCATGGAGGCAATCAGCCTGTGGCACTGCTGAGGTGTTATGGAGTCCCAGGATGCTTCGATAGCGGCCTTAAGCTCATCCAGAGTGTCGGGTCTTGCGTCTCTCAACTTTCTCTTCACAATATCCCACAGATTCTCTAAGGGGTTCACGTCAGGAGAGTTGGCAGGCCAATTGAGCACAGTAATACCATGGTCAGTAAACCATTTACCAGTGGTTTTGGCACTGTGAGCAGGTGCCAGGTCGTGCTGAAAAATGAAATCTTCATCTCCATAAAGCTTTTCAGCAGATGGAAGCATGAAGTTCTCCAAAATCTCCTGATAGCTAGCTGCATTGACCCTGCCCTTGATAAAATACAGTGGACCAACACCAGCAGCTTACATGGCACCCCAGACCATCACTGACTGTGGGTACTTGACACTGGACTTCAGCCACTTTGGCATTTCCTTCTCCCCAGTCTTCCTCAAGACTCTGGCACCTTGATTTCCGAATGACATGCAAAATTTGCTTTCATCCGAAAAAAAGTACTTTGGACCACTGAGCAACAGAACAGCTTCTCTGTAGCCCAGGTCAGGTGCTTCTGCCGCTGTTTTTGGTTCAAAAGTGGCTTGACCTGGGGAATGTGGCACCTGTAGTCCATTTCCTGCACATGCCTGTGCATGGTGGCTCTGGATGTTTCTACAGGCTCAGTCCACTGCTTCCGCAGGTCCCCCAAGGTGAAGATCTTCCTCAGGGTCCGGTCACCTCTTCTCGTTGTGCAGCGTTTTTTGCCACACAGCATCTTAAACAGCAGCTTGTGAGGCGAGCGGTCCAGATGTGCAGGAGCAGGATTGGTACTAAGCAGCGTTCCGCGGGGGCCTGCTCTGCCAGGGGTCTGGTGACAGAGCGGGATGAGAGTGGTACGGTCCGGGGGCGGCACACACTGTCATCCGAGCTCTGGGACAGAGGGGGATCAGAGTGGCGAGGCTCATAAGCGGAGCGCACTGTCATCCGCGCCCTCTGGGGGCTCAGAGATGGGATGCAGCTCTTTGAGGAAAAGATTCACCCCAGCCCTCCACCTTTCACTCCCTGAAAGAACTGCAACCCACATCTGAGCTGCCCGTAACGGGAGACCCGCATAGCCTGGCGTTCAGCGGGGCTGGTACGGGCAGGGGCGCCTTCCTGCAACCACCTCCACGGTGCTGCTGAGGCCGGACGGGAGGGGGCGAAAGTCGCATGAGGGCGCTTTCGGTGGCAAGCAGACTGAGGCGTCTGAGCTGGTTGTCTTTGCCATTGGCTCGTTTTGTAATACTCGAAGTCGATAGGCTTTCTAAGCGAAACCCCATTCGTCGTCATCCGACGGAACTCGGAGTGACAACGAAAGGGAACTTTCTATTTTCCAATTAACAGTTTTGCACTGTAGCATTTTTACCGTCTTTCACCGTTAAAATCACAATCATTTTTTACAGTGAAGCTTGGAAGAGCCAGGATAGTTTTAAATATGACTCTGATTGTGTTCGTCTGAACGAAGATAGTCATATACACCTCGGATGGCTTAAGGGTGAGTAAATAATGGTATAATTGTCCTTTGAACTATCCCTTTAAAGCTTATCTGTGAAACCAGGGGGATGAAGTTGTTTTGCTAGCATTCATCATAAGGCATCAGACCACCAGAGGCATCACAAACACATCAGTGGTACCTGTCCGCCTCCACACTGCAGAGAACAGTCCAGCTCGTTCATCATGATCTCAGTGTCGGCCGCGCTCTGATGAGCACATGTAGCTGGTCCATCGGGAACCCGAGTGTGGATGCGCTCTTCACTCCTGCCATTAAAGATGACCACGATGACACGGATCATTTTTCCAAAGATATTGCATTTTGCATCACAGATTATGTGTATTCAATTATCTGTGTTCTCAAAGGAAAGCTTTGATATTTTTATTTCTCATATGGATAAGAATTCCAAGAAACCTTTATTGCCTAAAAATAGATTAGCTTTATAAATTGAGACACATTTTTAAATTTGACTTAAAGCCAAATTGTTTAGCCCTTTCTTCTGTAATTTTAAGTTTAGAGATTAGGTTTAAGGGAACATATTTATTTATTAAACATTAAACAGCAGAAAAATAATGACTTGTATGGGGATTAATCAGTGCCACGGTGACAGACAAAAAAAGTAAATATATATATATATATATATATATATATATATATATTGTGTATTATAAAGCCAAATTAATAGAAGGTCAACAATCAAATAATTGCTTAAAATCTGTCCATGTAATTAAGTCATTAACGGCAAAGCAGGGATATTATAGTTAACTAAAACCAAAACTAAATTCATAAAACAAATTTAGTAACTTGAAAAAAACTTTAACTGAAATAAAATAAATACTAAAACCTTAAACTTCTCTTATTTCAGCTACAGTAGCTGCCAAGACAGCATTTCTCATATTCAGTCAGTTGAACTTGATGTTCTAAAATATCTAAATCAAAAAAATATATACATTTTTTAAAAATAATAAAAAACACAAAAATTACTAAAACTTATCAAAATGAAAACAGAAAATAGTTAATAGTTTGACTTAAATACATACTAATAAAATATTAAAATAAAATATATTTACAAAACTTTAGAATAAAAATAAATAAATAATAAAAATGACAACCATGCAACAAAAACAGAACAAACAATATAAAGAAAAAAATACTAAAATAAAACTGTAATAGTATATCACTGATAATAAAATAAGTGCTGCACAGCTCTATGGCAATGCTTATACAAATTTTACATAATTATTCTCAGGATCACTGTGATTAAACACTGCCATTATGTGCCCGTATTGAATTAGCCCTGATGAATGAAACTGATTTATTTGTCCTGGTCACAGTGAGGTCAATCAAATGATCACTCATCCGTCTGTTAGTTCAGGTGTCACAGTGAGCGACAGAATGACAAACCGCTGTGCACATGAGCGAAACTATCAGGTGCGACTCACATTTTTCTTGTTGACAGGTGAGCTTCTGGCACAGGGAAGATGGAACTAGATTCTGCATCTCTCCGTGTCGACCTGAAAGTGGACAGATGTGTGAAAGAAAGTTCCGTGTGATGCAGGTATCCAACTGTAAAATAATGGGGAAATATCTGAGGAATTGTTTTTTCTTTGCGGCTGTCAAACAGTCGGCAAAACAGCTTGTTAAGGAAACTTGTCGGCTTAAAGCAAAACGTTTTAAGCTGTCCTTGGACACTTGTAAAGAGAAAAGGAGACACTTTCTTTTAAAAGCCTGCTCATTAGAGGATGCAGACAGCAAGGGAAACCTTTTCAATGTTGCCAATTAAGAAAACCTTTCCTGGTGTGTGAATACTGTTTTTCAGCATCTATAGTGTGTCAACATGAATCCAGACACACACTTAAAACGTCTGAATGCCATTGCATTAGTTCAACTATTATTTATTTAAAATAAAAATAGCATAAACACCTTTTTAAGCTTGAACTTTACGCGTCCATTAAAATCACTCTGACACATTGGGGAGGAAATGAGAAAAGCTTTTGAGCATTTCAGCAAAATCACTGCAGCATTTGAGTAAAGCTGCAAAGTGGTTTGATATTTTGTATTTCCTAAAAACAACATTTCTACATTTTAATTGTGGCCACTGCATAGTAGCAAAAACACAGCTTGAATTCCCTGAAGTCATTTAATGGTTCTGAAGTGGATGAAGGAGTAGAAGAGATTCAAAACAAGATCTCAGACCGAGAGGAGAGGCTGTATACTCACTCATACTCCTCTGGACACATGCTTAGAAATGCAACTGGGCTGCAATAAAACACAGACAGCAGACTGAGCAAATATCATAGCTGTCAACGAAGACATGAGCGTTAATCACACACTGGCATTTGTGAGCTTTTAAAAATAAACACCCTCAAAACGCACTTGCACTAGAAAAGAATCCACTTAAAAGGGTCCAATAGTGTATATCCATCACCGTCACAAGAAATAAATATAATTTTTTTGAATAAATTAATTAATACAATTTGCAAAGCATCTCAAATGCTGCCTGTATTGAAACGATAAACAAGTACGCTAATTTTTAAAGAATTTAATTAATGGAAATTACCTTAACTGAGGGATAGTGATCATTTTCTAAATAAAATTACAAGAAATAATGGTGTATAATTATTTATGTTTAATATATTACTAATAGTTATATATATAAGTGTGTGATAAAACTGAAATAATAAACAAAAACCTATAAAACTAAAAATCGATTTAAAAAAAATTATAAAAATGACTAAAAACGTATCAAAATGAAAACAGAAAAATAATAAAAACTATTTTATTTCAGCTATTTCTCGAGGCAACATTTCTCATTTTCCTTTGACTTGATATAAACTCTAAAAAATGCTGGGTTGTTTTAACCCAATTTTGGTCAAATATGGACCAACCCAGCCATTGGGTTGACATGACTTTTGGGTCAAATATGGACCAACCCAGCCATTGGGTTACATTTTTAAATGACATTTTCAACCCAATGTTTGAGTTTGTCCATATTTGACCCAAAAGTGGGTTAAAACAACCCAGTATTTTTTTTAGAGTGCGCTGATTTTGACCCAATTTTGACCCATTTTTGGGTCAAATATGGACCAACCCAGCCATTGGGTTACATTTTTAAATTACATTTTTAACCCAATGTTTGTGTTAGTCCATATTTGACCCAAAATTGGGTTAAAACAACCCAGTATTTTTTAGAGTGCGCTGATTTTGACCCAATTTTGGGTCAAAATATGGACCAACCCAGCTATTGGGTAATATTTTTAAACCCAAAATTAAAATTTTTAACCCAATGTTTGAGTTGGTCCATATTTGACCCAAAATTGGTTTAAAACAACCCAGAGTACACCCTAAGTGGTAATAGCTGTACGTTGTTTAACCATCCATCCAAAGCCATATGTCCTATTCATCATATTCATGTGTTTGTCTACTTGACAGGACCGTACAAATTAGTGTATCTTCTATCTTGTATTAGAGCAGTTGTGTGGGTATTTGAAAAAACACCCAAACACAGTCACTCAGTATCTCATTTAATGAATAAGGACACCTAATAATAACAATGAACTTAAACCTGATAAGATTGTCTGCGGTCTGACATTACAACAGCCAATGTGAACAGCTGGTTTACCTCGATATTAAAGACTGCCGTGCACATGATAAATGTCCCGTCTCTTCATTTCCCCCAAGATCACACTAAACAGACATCTGATTGCTTTTATAATCAAATTCACATCCAGGAGAGGGAAGCAGCATTTTTGTGTTGATGTTAAAGTGGCAGCTTTGAAATTACATTCATGAACGGCCTTAAATTTGTTCCAGCACAAAAATAGCACATAAATAGACCTTTAGTAATCCAGGAACTCAGAAAAACAAGCATGTTTCCCATGAGGCTGAGTGATGACAGGAAGTCATTACTTTAATAGACAGAGATATAGAATCTTCTAGTCAAATTACCAGGAAGGATGATATTGCTACACTGTTTAAACAAGAATCACAAACTGATTAAAAATCTGGACGTCTCAATAAGGTCTCATCCGGAAAGATGCACCTTGAATATTTGCAGTAGGAAAACTCACGTCTCCGAATGCTCTTCCTCGAGGATGGTCTGCACGGGCAGGTAGCCGAGCCGAGGGTGTTTGGTGAAGTACTTCTTTGAGCGGAACTTGTTTTTCAGCACTTTGGTGAAGTCACGCACGTCTTCTCCAGAGGTCGTCTGTATACAGAGAGGCTGTAGGGAAATGTTCTGTTGTGCATGAAGAATTACAGTGACAGGGTCTGGATGGAGTGTGTTCAGGTTTGGGAAAAATCAGAAAGAAATATATATATATATATATATATATATATATATATATACATACATATATATATATATATATATATATATATATATATATATATATATATATATATATAAAATAAAATAATATATATGAATAAAAAGATATATATTTATAATATTTGAAAAAATTATAATAATGTATAAATATGTATATATGTGTGTGTGTGTGTGTGTGTAATATACAGTACTCAACATTTGAAGTGGATCAAAACCTTCAAACAATCAAACTTCAAAGTGGATTCAAACCATCAAAGTTACACATGAATTTTGAACAATACCCGTTATTGTCTTAGTACAATTTTAAAATACTTTAACCATTTCAAATGTTGCATACTGTGTGTGTGTATATATATATATATATATATATATATATATATATATATATGAAGAGTTCAGATGCAAAAGCCTCTAAATGCCATTTGAAATTTTCTTCTAAAATGACAATTTTTATCAAACTTGTATATTTAAGTTCAGCAATTTCACTTAAATGACAATTAATAGGTAATCTTCATTGCCATTTAAGTGAAATTACTGAACTTAAATTTACAAGCTTGATAAAAATGATCGTTTTAGAAGAAAATTTCAAATGGCACTGAGAGGCTTTTGCATCTGAACTCTTCATATATATATATTAATATATATATATATATATATATATACTGTATATACATACATACATACACTCACCTAAAGGATTATTAGGAACACCATACTAATCCTATGTTTGACCCCCTTTCTGCCTTAATTCTACGTGGCATCGATTCAACAAGGTGCTGAAAGCATTCTTTAGAAATGTTGGCCCATATTGATAGAATAGCATCTTGCAGTTGATGGAGATTTGTGGGATGCACATCCAGGAGCTCCCGTTCCACCACATCCCAAAGATGCTCTATTGGGTTGAGATCTGGTGTGGGAGCCATTTTAGTACAGTGAACTCATTGTCATGTTCAAGAAACCAATTTGAAATGATTTGAGCTTTGTGACATGTTGCATTATCCTGCTGGAAGTCATCAGAGGATGGGGACATGGTGGCCATAAAGGGATGGACATGGTCAGAAACAATGCTCAGGTAGGCCGTGGCATTTAAACGATGCCCAATTGGCACTAAGGGGCCTAAAGTGTTCCAAGAAAACATCCCTCACACCATTACACCACCACCACCAGCCTGCACAGTGGTAACAAGGCATGATGGATCCATGTTCTCATTCTGTTTACGCCAAATTCTGACTCTACCATCTGAATGTCTCAACAGAAATCGAGACTCATCAGACCAGGCAACATTTTTCCAGTCTTCAACTGTCCAATTTTGGTGAGCTCTTGCAAATTGTAGCCTCTCTTTCCTATTTATAGTGGAGATGAGTGGTACCCGGTGGGGTCTTCTGCTGTTGTAGCCCATCCGCCTCAAGGTTGTGTGTGTTGTGGCTTCACAAATGCTTTGCTGCATATCTCGGTCGTAACGAGTGGTTATTTCAGTCAAAGTTGCTCTTCTATGCTCTTCTTGAATCAGTCGGCCCATTCTCCTCTGACCTCTAGCATCAACAAGGCATTTTTGCCCACAGGACTGCCGCATACTGGATGTTTTTCCCTTTTCACACCATCCTTTGTAAACCCTAGAAATGGTTGTGCGTGAAAATCCCAGTAACTGAGCAGATTGTGAAATACTCAGACCGGCCCGTCTGGCACCAACAACCATGCCACCCTCAAAATGTCTTAAATCACCTTTCTTTCCCATTCTGACATTCAGTTTGGAGTTCAGGAGATTGTCTTGACCAGGACCACACCCCTAAATGCATTGAAGCAACTGCCATGTGATTGGTAGATTAGATAATTGCATCATTGAGAAATTGAACAGGTGTACATAATAATCCTTTAGGTGAGTGTAAATATATATGATATACACTACCGGTCAAAAGTTTTAGATCAGTAAGATTTTTTATGTTTTTAAATTAAGTCTCTTCTGCTCACCAAGTCTGCTTTATTTGATGGAAAAAAAAAGACAAACAGTGTGAAATATTATGACAATTTAAAATGTTTTCTATTTTAATATACTTTAAAATGTAATTTGAAAGCTGAATTTTCAACATCATTACTGTTGCTGATTACACATCAGTTTTCAGTGTCACAGAAATCATTGTAATATGCTGATTTTATGCTCAAAAAACATAAATTATTATTTTCAATGTTGAAAACAGTCGTGTACCATTTTCCCCCCAAAATTACATGATGAATAGAAAGTTCAAAAGAACAGCATTTATTTAAAATATAAACTTTTCTAACATTATAAATGTCTTTACTGTAACTTTGATCAATGTAACTCATCCTTGATGAATAAAAGTATTTTCTAATTTCTTTCACCCAAAAATAAAAAATAAATTCTTACTGACCCCAAACTTTTGAATGGTAGTGATTAATGTTACAAAAGCTTTCCATTTCAGATCAATTCTGTTCTTTTGAACTTTCCATTCATCAAAGAATCCTGAAATTAAAATGTAAAAAACTGTTTTCAACATGGATAATAATCATAAATGTTTCTTGAGCATCATATTATAATAATTTCTGCAGGAACACTGAAGACTTTAGTAATGATGCTGTAAATTCAGCTTTGATCACAGTAATAAATTACACTTCACGATATACTGTATTCACATAGAAAACCGCTGTTTTAAATTGTAATAATATTTCACAATATTACTGGGGTTTTTTTGTGTGTGTATTTTTTTTATCAAATAATTGCAGCCTTGGTGAGCAGAAAAGACTTCTTTTAAAAACATAAAAAATCTTACCGATCTAAAACTTTTGACCGGTAGTGCATATATCAAGTTTTCCACTCCATCTCTCTTGCTTTCTCCTGTTTCAGACATTTGCTCATTTTCTCCCCATGTTATTGTGTATCACATGATACGTTGTGTGTGAGATTATAGGGGAGGTTCTGGTGCACTGATTGTTAATGGATTTTTGTACTTGTATTCCCTAAGTGCAGGGCAGGTTGTATTTTACAATGTGCTTCATTATTTATTGAATGGTTATATAATATATTAATTTAAGGAAGCCATTGGGAGGTGGGCACCTTTTATTTTGAACATATTTTCTCCTGTTTATATTGAGTTACAGAGGAAGTTAGGTTAACTTCTTCCATCTTTATTTTGTGTTTAGATTGTATAGTTTACTGTAGTTATAATTTATGTTAAGTTGGATTATTTAATTTACAACTATTCCTTCTCCTATACCCTAGACAGGGGAGGCCATACAGAAGGAATATACACAACAATATATGAAGAGTTCAGATGCAAAAGCCTCTAAGTGCCATTTGAAATTTTCTTCTAAAATGTTCATTTTTATCAAGCTTGTATATTTAAGTTCAGTGATTTCACTTAAATGGCAATGAAGATTACCTATTAATTGTCATTTAAGTGAAATTACTGAACTTAAATATACAAGCTTGATAAAAATGATCATTCTAGAAGAAAATTTCAAATGGCATTTAGAGGCTTTTGCATCTGAACTCTTCACATATATATATATATATATATATATTAAATGAGAAAATAACAATGAAAATGCATTTATAAATACGTATTTTTAATTGAAAAAAGGGTTATGCAACGGCCACCCTTTTACCGCCCCTAATTTTTTTTTCCATAGTGACCAATTTAAAACACAACCATTGTTTTATCTTTTTTTTTTTTTTTTTTTTGAAATAAAAGCAGAAAGACATATAGATGCTCACAGGGGTGCAGTACTCCACCATGGGATAGCTAAGATGATGGTCCTTGGTAATCTTTCCCGAGAAAAAACACATCTGACACACGTTGTAGTTGAAATGCTTTAGACTTCGATACCTAAAAGACAAACAGATGTTCCACACTGTAACAGGCCAGCTGATATGATATTACCAAGGGCGGTTCGAGGATCTCATCCTCAGGGGGGGTTAGCCCTGAAGGGACACTGTGTAGCAAGAGACCATTGTATTGCCTCTTTAAATTAGGCACCATAAAGTAAGTCAAAATATCTTAAATTGGTATCGAGGTTGATATAATGATAGCAGTCTTTCTGCAGTACACTTCAAATTGATAAAACAGTTAGTTCTCTTTTGCAGCATTTTTAAGTTTGAATGGCTTAAAATCTCTTGAATGTTTAAACTAACAAGACTAAAAAAAACCTTGAAAATTATCAACTTTCTTGAGGACGCGCAGCACTGGCCCAATCATTCAGATGGGAAATTAGTTTTAGGGGGGTTGAGATGACAGATAGGGGGGATGAATCCCCCCTAAAAAGGTCTAGAACCGCCCCTGGTTATTGCAATGTTTTGTTAAGAATATTCAGAGATGCCATCAGTGCCTCGAGACAGACACTATCAGACGAGAACAAAACTTGAACTGAAGTAACTTGGATTAACAGTCTTACTGAAATGAATGAACAGTGAACTGACTTGAGCTGAATAATGACAGTATTGTCTTCTGTAGAGCTGCTTTAGAGAGAGAAATGAGTTTGATTCATAACTTTGTACCATTGCCACTGTTATTAAAATAAACCGAATCAACAATCAACTAAATTTAGCTGAATAAATGACGCTGTTGTCCTTTGTAGAGCTGCTCATGCTGAAATTGAATTTGTTTCATAATTGAAGAATTATGCAACATTAATACTTTTATTTTCCCGTTTACTGTAAAGCTTCTCTGAAATAATCTGTATTGTATAATAGTATTATAAATAAATGTGACTTGACTTGTGACACAAACTGGTGAACCATTGCTTATTAGTTATTTTACATACATCTTATTGTTTTACAACAATAAAAGCACAAATCTTTTTTGGGATGAGAACTGTTGGATGATTTAGGGGGGTAAAATGCAACCATATAGCCATATTATGCTTCATCTTATTATTACATTTTTATTTTATTTATTTGAATAGTAAATTTACTTATTTTAATATTGTTTATTTTACTTATTTAATAGCCATATTTATTGAAGGTTTAATGCTAAATATATTAAATAAATATCAGGGTTCCATCAGTTTTAAAAACTGTTCCATTTGTTCCATTTCCACAGTTCCAGTTTTAAATAATTTTAAAGAGTCAAAATAATAGTAATATAATATATAGCTAAAATAATTTAAGTTTGACCTTCTGAGGTGGATGGACAACATTATCGGAAAGTTATGAAGAAGAAGAAAAAAGAAACTTGAATTTATGATTTTCCAATCCTATTTAGTCCACAGCAGTGGTACAACACTTCCACCCTAAAACAAATTCACTTTTGTTTTACCTGAAGCCCACCATGGGACACTCTTTACAGATGTTACATCTGGCCTGGTGTTTGGCCGTTTCTGCGGCGGCGACTCTGTGAAGCACAGGCAACCACACCATGGACTGCGGCTCCAAATGCATCCAGTCCACAAACTGTTGCAGCTCGATGACATCATCACGGCCCACCTGAAACGCACCAACACAGACAAACCCCTCATTCATTACACTGCATGACATACGCTACTATAATGGAGTCTAAAAGCTCTCCGGTGCTCTATTTATCATTTCAGAAGCGTATTCATCTACAACCCAAAACCTATAATATCCCATCTCAACCTTATTAGCCCGAGGGCAAGGGATCCATTAGTAATTTTGAAGTGAAGCAAATGGGGCCAATTGTGGTCATTTGAGTCTCCACCCCCATAGCATTAACACTGCTACTACTGTTATGAATCAATTACAGCAGGCCAGTTAAGGCAAGACTATCAAGAGTCTTTCATTACATGGAACATTAAATGAAAAGTGGTCCACTGTGACTCAAGTAAAAGAGTGAAGTATTGGAGGCCCCGTCCAGGGTGGCTTTATACGGGTTTATAAATGCGCCATTATACCAGCGGATGTGGTTCACATCATAAAGCACACCATCATGTGATATTATGGGAATGCATGCACACAAATCAAGTGGATTTCATTAAATATCTCTCAGTAGAGCTTGTGCATCGGCTGTCACACCGACCGCTAACCGTCTGAAAGTGGCGGTGTAAATCCCCGGGCATTCCTGCCACTCTTATAACAGAGCTCATCATTTATTTATATGTCAAAACTCACTGATGTGTAATGAGGAGCCCCTATACCCACATAAACAAGTCCGAGCATCCGTTCAGCAGCTCCCTTTAGGAATAATGTCTCACACACCTGAATTATGTATCTTAGAATATCGGTCATTTGATTTGCATTAATTTACCTTTTTGTTAAAGATTGTAATTTATTAATGTGTGCATACGTTCTTTCACTACCTCAGTATATATATATATTTTTTTGCTATGTTTCTATAATGAGGTTCAACAGAATAAATTTGACATCTTGATCAGATGTTTCTCACAGATTTATGCTGAAAATATGTTTGTTTACGCTTTCTTAGCACTAATTCACTGGTTACATTTAAGCCTAAAACAAATGTGGCTAAATCATTTGGCCTTGAAGAAATTGGTATGAAATTTCTGAGTTCATATTGAGATCTGTTTTTCAAGTGCACTTATTTTGAAACACTGTTGACATCTCTTCAGAAATTATTTTTTCTTTCATTAACAAAAAAAAAAAAAAATGTTTTTGCTAATTGACAAAGCTTAAACAAAATACACATATTAGATGGAAAAACTTCTAAAAGATAATAAGAAAATAGATGACTGAAATAAGTTTAAATTGAAGCACTAAAATTCTGTGCTGGATTTAAGAAAAAAACTATAATTAAATAAAAACTAAACCATAACTTAAGCTAAAACTGAGTTAAAAGTAAATTAAATCAGTTATACTAAAACAAAACAAAAACTAAGAAAAATGACAAAATCACACAACCTAATTACAAAAAATTTAACTAAAATTAAAAATAAATAAATAATGAAATTTTGTTGTTGGTGTCAGATGGGCCGGTCTGAGTATTTCACAATCTGCTCAGTTACTGGGATTTTCACACACAACCTTTTCTAGGGTTTACAAAGGATGGTGTGAAAAGGGAAAAACATCCAGTATGCAGCAGTCCTGTGGGCGAAAATGCCTTGTTGATGCTAGAGGTCAGAGGAGAATGGGCCGATTGATTCAAGCTGATACTTTGACTGAAATAACCACTCGTTACAACCGAGGTATGCAGCAAAGCATTTGTGAAGCCAAAACACGCACAACCTTGAGGCGGATGGGCTACAACAGCAAAAGACCCCACCGGGTACCACTCATCTCCACTACAAATAGGAAAAAGAGGCTACAATTTACAAGAGCTCACCAACATTGGACAGTTGAAGACTGGAAAAATGTTGCCTGGTCTGATGAGTCTCGATTTCTGTTGAGACATTCAGATGGTAGAGTCAGAATTTGGCGTAAACAGAATGAGCACATGGATCCATCATGCCTTGTTACCACTGTGCAGGCTGGTGGTGGTGGTGTAATGGTGTGGGGGATGTTTTCTTGGCACACTTTAGGCCCCTTAGTGCCAATTGGGCATCGTGTAAATGCCACGGCCTACCTGAGCATTGTTTCTGACCATGTCCATCCCTTTATGGCCACCATGTACCCATCCTCTGATGACTTCCAGCAGGATAATGCACCATTTCACCAAGCTCGAATCATTTCAAATTGGTTTCTTGAACATGACAATGAGTTCACTGTACTAAAATGGCCCCCACAGTCACCAGATCTCAACCCAATAGAGCATCTTTGGGATGTGGTGGAATGGTACCTTCGTGCCCTGGATGTGCATCCCACAAATCTCCATCAACTGCAAGATGCTATCCTATCAATATGGGCCAACATTTCTAAAGAATGCTTTCAGCACCTTGTTGAATCAATGCCACGTAGAATTAAGGCCGTTCTGAAGGCGAAAGGAGGTCAAACACAGTATGGTGTTCCTAATAATCCTAGATGAATGTACATATTGTGCTTTTCTAATATCGTTTTGTGTAATTTACTGTAGCTGTAAAGTGCAAGACAAATGTAGTTATTGTTTTCCAAAAGAAAGAGCAGATTCTGAACAGCCTGAAATGAGTCGTCAGTAATTCAAGTTTTACTTCCTCCACGAACCTACATAGGTTTGTAACACATTTGCATAATGCAGCCTAGTCTTTATTGATAAACTGATACCGTTACTGTTCCTATCACTGTGTGTATCAAGCACTGAGGATGCCTCTGGAGCTTAAATTCAGAAATGGTAATAGGTGTTTAATTTCCGACACATGCTGTAAGTGACCAATCACAACAAACCATCTAAGCCATCTGACCAATCAGATCACTGGAGGCTGAAAGGAAGGTTTAGAGAAACTGAATCCTTTATTGAACCATTTCAGACACTGAGAAAAGAGGTGATGCTGCAACGTATATTTTAAGAAAATAGTGTTTTTTTATCTTGTATGCATGTACACCTAATGTGGGAGACCTCCAAAACCAAATTAGGATCGATTAAAACAGCAAAATAGGGGCACTTTAATAAAACTATGATAGTAGTAATTAACTAATATAACACTGGTTCTCAGGAGAAAAATCTGATTCAATCTCATTGCTCTCTAGGATTAATAACTGATATAAAAATAGAATTAAAACAACTGATAAAACAACTCATTATCTCGTGCTGTAGCTGTCAGGCAGTGTTAACTCACATATTGAAAGCAGCTCCGGACACTGGGCTCCATGTTACTCCCTCCGAACGCAGCCGCCTCCCCGAGCTGATGTGGGATTCGGATGCCGTTGTGTAGCAGTAATGCCAGCTGCATCTGGTTACAGAACCCTGCAGCGCTGGCCACCTGAGCGAACAGATCTGTGGAGGACAACACGGGCCAAACTCAAAGAACATCACATTATCAGACTAGGAGGGTGAGTGGGTAAGGTTTTAGACTTAAGATCCAATTTATAAATGTCCTTGTGGTGGTCACAGCAAGGACAGTGTTGCATTCCAGTCCCTGAGACCTTTAAAGACACTGAAATCAAAGTTTCCAGTGAAATTGTGCACAAATATTAAAGTGAAAGAAAGAAGCCAGTGTCCCGCGCATAACTTAATTCATCTCATGTATAAATTGAGAATTAACAAAACATATAGAATACATATTTAATATCAAAATACTTGCATTTGTACTTGTCCTTTATGGGTCCTTTTGAAAGCGAAAACAAGCCGATCTTAATAGACAGCACTTGAACTTTTCCGCTCCTTCCACTATTAACAGAAAACAGAGACATTGATGTGCCACAGAAATTACACATGTATTATATTTTGATTGTCTGGTAAATATCTTGGTTAGTAACAACCACAGGTATTGGTTATGTCTTTACTGAACAGTTTTGTGTCAGCTTGTATTGGCAAAAATACAATTATTGCTGTAGGACTGCAAAAGAAATGAACATAAATCATTCAAATCAAAAATCTATGAGAGACACCATTGAGGAGGAGATTATCTGCAATAGTTTAGAGGTCATGAGATTATTGTTTTTTATGAGAATATTTAAAGTGGCACTAAAATGTACTTTGCCAATTTAGTCAGACGTAAACATTTATAAATATCATTGCATTATTAGATACAAATATTAAACCAATTGGAAAGCTTTTTCAAAAACTATGGACACAACTGCAAGGTCTTACTTTTTACCTTTATTTTACACAGTATGCATATGTTTTATCAAACCAAATAATCTTTTATGAAAAAAAAAATACTCATGCTTATCTATAGGTCTACTAATGCTTTCATTCTTTCAAATAATCACTTAGATATTTTGTAATTCAATGCAGCCAACATTCAAACATTTTTAAGTGTGACTAAATATGTTTATGGCCACTCTATTAAGGATAAGACCCATACCGACCTGTCATAGACTTTTAGAAGCCAGTTGAGACACAGATCCACACAGAGAGGGACATTAACCAGATCCGGATGCACCTGCTGAAGTCCATGATAGATTGTGCAGAGACAGTTTACGATGCCTGGAATCTCCAGTAGCTGCTCATTATGCGTGAGTTTGTGTTGATCAAAGACGCTCTGGGCTCTGCCGAGCTCTAAAAGGTCCACTAGAACAGACAGACGGTATTCACATGATTTCATCTCCACTCATTTCTGTGTCTACAATGAATTCCATTCAGTGTATTTTAATGAAAGTCACCAGAGCGTAACTCATCCATTGGCGTGTAATGAAAATTCCCTGGTGAAAAGGCAGCAAAAAATTATATTTCTTATCAGCATTCATCAGATTTGCAACCAATTATACGTTTCAACAACTACCCTTTCTCAACATTACCCACATCCAAAGATATGAAGCAAACACTATCCAACCAACCTGACTGCAGGATTATTCTGATCAGCTTGTTATTGTAAGGCCCGCCCAATCAGCTCTTATACAGTTTCCAAAAGAGCGGGGAAGATACCTGTGTGTTCTGTCGTTTCAGTTAGAGCCAGACCGATAAAGGATTTTGAAGGCCGATACCGATACAAATATTTTTGGGTTTTAAAATCCGATATTCCGATATATCGGCCGATATTTTTTTTTTATTATTAAATATTGTTGGATTTCACACATGTGTAAAAGAAAAGCTAACTTTTCTGCACAAGATACGTTTGATACTTTTTCTCCATGTCTAAATGTTCACTCCTCGCAAGTATAACTTTCATTTTACAATGCAGACACTTTAACTAGAGATATGCTAACTATAAATACAGTAATCATTACTTTATTTAGGCAGAAAAGGTTCATTGTGGTTTCCAAGCTCATTAATGTTAACGTTAGTGGTCTTCCACTGATGATATTGGCATTAGCTTGCTTTGTGGTTAGCTAGTCTATGATGAGCCATAATTTAGCAATAGATAACATCATACTGCAAGTTGTAAAACATACATTTTCAATATAACAGGCCAAGGAGAGATGATTGAAGCATATTTCGTCCGTTTTTATTTTATTTTTTAAATATTCATTTATCGGGCATTATAACTGCCGATACCGATATTATGGAAAATGCCTAATATCGGCCGATAATATCGGCCGGCCGATATATCGGTCTGGCTCTAGTTTCAGTGTTGCAAAATAGTTTAATTACAATTCAACTTTTATCTGGCTCCATTTTATCTCAACCTCAAATTAGGTTGGAATGCCAATGGTTCATTTGAATAATAATTTAGACACTTTATTCTATTCAGATACCGATGACGCTCAGGGCCGTTGTTTACAAGGATCTCATGGTAACAAACTCATCAGTCTGATCATTATCACTCTAAAAAATGCTGGGTAGTTTTAAACCAAATTTGGAAAAACCCAACCGTTGGGTTAAATTTTACATTACGGTTGGGTTTGACCATATTTGTCCCAAATTTGCCCAGCATTTTTTATAGAGAGCCAGAGTTTATGGCTAATACTACAAACCCAATTCCATAAAAGTTGGGACACTGTACAAATTGTGAATAAAAACAGAATGCAATGATGTGGAAGTTTCAAATTTCAATATTATATTTAGAATACAACATAGATGACATATCAAATGTTTAAACTGAGAAAATGCATAATTTTAAGGGAAAAATACGTTGATTTTAAATTTCATGGCATCAACACATCTCAAAAAAGTTACAGTAGCATTCCTGTGTGTGATGCAGTGCCGTCTAAGGGCCCGAAGATCACGGGCATTCAGTATGGTTTTCCGGCCTTGACCCTTACGCACAGAGATTGTTCCAGATTCTCTGAATCTTTGGATGATATTATGCACTGTAGATGATGATAACTTCAAACTCTTTGCAATTTTTCTCTGAGAAACACCTTTCTGATATTGCTCCACTATTTTTTGCCTCAGCATTGGGGGAATTGGTGATCCTCTGCCCATCTTGACTTCTGAGAGACACTGCCACTCTGAGAGGCTCTTTTTATACCCAATCATGTTGCCAATTGACCTAATAAGTTGCAAATTGGTCCTCCAGCTGTTCCTTATATGTACATTTAACTTTTCTGGCCTCTTATTGCTACCTGTCCCAACTTTTTTGGAATTTGTAGCTCTCATGAAGTCCAAAAGGAGCCAATATTTGGCATGGCAATTCAAAATGTCTCACTTTCAACATTTGATATGTCATCTATGTTGTATTCTAAATATAATATTGAAATTTGAAACTTCCACATCATTGCATTCTGTTTTTATTCACAATTTGTACAGTGTCCCAACTTTTATGGAATTGGGTTTGTATTTATATAGGCTGTCCATGCTTGAAATTATTTATATCCCAGACATCAGTGTCTGCCCAGACGTCTGGTACATGTGGATTCAACGCGTAACAGATATGGGCCGGATCTTGGCCGACCCTATACTGCTGTTTGGGATAGTAGTTCTGTTTAGCCTCCTACAGATGTCTATTGTCTATATAACAACTTAGTTAAAGCTCGAACAATAATCAGATGGCTAGTACTATGAAGTCATGGTATTTTTTCAATGGTATTTTTGTTACGCCCCCTATAGTTAATAATATAACTACTAAAACCAGAGGTTATGGCTTGTACCATAATATCCCACCCCATGCTTGCTATTATTTCAGTAGTATTTTTTTCTAGCCTCATAGTGAATGCAACTGAATAACAACTTTAGGCTACTAAAGTCAAGCATTTACTGATCTCTGCATATGGAGAGAAGAAAGAGGGGTTGAAAGGAAGGAAATGTAGATAAAGACAGTACAGATATGGGATAGACTTAGTATGATTGCGTCTAGTAAAACGTCTGCCAGAGAGTTTGAAGTCAGATGAGGAATATAAGAGTGCAAACGAACTGGTCCACGAGTCTTTTCTTTTCTTTTCCATGCAAAACGAAGCATTGAGAACTTTGTAAGTGTACAGACCGTTTAATAAGAAGAGACTTTATAAAGACAGTTCACTTCGTGTATACAGACAGGAGCCATCTTGGAAAACAGTCATGACAAGTTGTAGTGGCTTTCCTATAAGCCCAAGACAGGTGGTAAGGTGTTCTACACACATAAAACACTGCACACAACGATATTCGTTTGAACAGTTGTTTTTGTCCATTTAATGAGATCTTAGAGATTTTACATTGTACTGGTTCTATGGTAAGAATCATAAATTCCAGCCACCTGTTTCCCTCTGTTTTAACCCAACTCATTTAAATACCATGTGATGGAACAGGTGTGGCTTTCACCTGCACAACTGATGCACACCGCCATCTAGTTGCAGAACAAATTACATCTGGCATACATTACATCACAACGTGCTGAGTGAGCTGACCTGTATGAAGTTCAGCGAACTTCTGAACTGTATGAACGGCGTTCGGGGATCGACTTACCGAGCCTATTTTCTAAGATGGCTCCTGCCTGTAAACACAAAATGAACTGTCTTTATAAAAGTATCATCTTATTAAACGGTCTGTACACTTACAAAGTTCTCAATGCGTCATTTTGCATGTGTGGACCCTCATTATGTTACTCTGTTAGTGTGGGGCTATTTTGAGCCTTGTTAGTGGTATAAACTAGTGATTTCTCTAACTTATTAAAGGCCCCCATTACTAGCATTATACAGTGTTGTAGTACTCGAGACTCGGACTCGTCTCGGACTCGGTCTCGAGACCATATTTTAATGGTCTTGGTCTTGTCATGGAATTGACTCGTACTCGAACATTTTTTTTTTTAGGACTCGGAATTATTCCCGAGTCCACTCGAGTTCAATTCAAAATATTTTTCATGATTATTAATGTATGTTAATAAAAATATTTCTTTAAATTGATTGACACGCCCAGTGATTGGTGATTTTCTAGTGCGCAACTGCGCATGACAAATTGTAATAAAATTACTTTTAACACCACCTACTATGTGGCCTTTTTACCCTAAACTGATCATATTTTTTAAACTCTAAGTAAATTCAGTAAAAAAAAAAAAAAGGATTTCTCTAAGTAAATAAAAGTAAATTAGGTAATCAACCCTCACTGGTCTCGGTCTCGACTCGGACTCGGCCGTCTCTGGTCTCGGACTCGACTCGGACTCGACTCTCTATGGACTCGGTCTTGACTCGGACTCGACTCTCTCTGGTCTCGGTGTCGACTCAGACTCGAGTGAGGTGGTCTCGACTACAACACTGGCATTATACGCTAAACAGTTTTTAGAGATAAAACTCTTTAGATTTGATTATCATGAAAACAAATCTCAGAGAACGACTGACTAGGTACCGATGTTTTATTAGACCAAAGGTTCATTTTGCAGCGGAGTTCTCCTTTAAGAGTAAAAAACGGTGCTGTGCCGTCTATATTGGATAAGACAGGAATGCTCTGGATCGAATATGTATGGGCGAATCATTCCGGTTGCCATTTTACATCATTGGACGTTTTCAAAACAATTTCCCCCAAGTGCATCGACGGGTGAGTTGAAACTCATTATAATATGCAAAACTGTTATCCACTCACAGAAGTGGGCGTTTACTTCCAAGTCTTCAGTGCGAGACGCCCATAAAAACAGAGCGTTTTTCAGCGAAACTCAAAACTAGGGTAAAAGATTACTTATTACTCATTCATTTTGATGTTTTTGAATGCAAAAACCAAGCAAACGTCATAAGTTGACCTCAGAGAACAATATAATAAAATTTAAAAAGCCAGTTCATGACCCCTTTAAATGTATTGAAATTAATAAGGCATCTTTGAGTAAACTTCTAAGTATCTGTTTGCCGGGCAGAGTGTCCTGGTTTTTGGTAATCAAAATATGGTCACCCTCAGAAAAGCCCTTTGTTTTCTCAGAGAGTAGCCCTTCTCTGAATCCAGACTTGACTTCAGGCTTGCATTATCAGCCGGTTGCTTGCTGGCTCTAATGCTTTCAAAAATCCTTCTGCAATTTGAAGATCAAAGACTTGTACAGTATAGTTAGTCTACCATAGACGTACTAATAGTGCCTGACACAATTAGCAGAGAGATCAAGATTTCATGTTTAAAATTGTCTTTGTCTTTTGCTGTAATCTGTTTTTTTTTTCCCCTTTGCATTTCCTCCAGTCAATTCGAGTGTGCAGTGAAGAGGGGAGTTCACACTCACAGGTTTGCAATGCAGTGATAAATGTCCCAGAAAATATGCTATTGCAATGGTTCAAAATCCCCCACAGAAGTAGGCTACCGTGATTTTGTTAGTGAAGTAAAAAGTATAAGAGGTAAATGATAAGATGGATCACTCACAGCAGAGGGCTTTCTGCAGCCTGCGGCTCTTCATAGCTGTGCGGTAAGCGGAGAAACGCACATGACTCAGATCAGCTGCACAGAGCGTAAAACATTAGGGTGAATTAGGAAAGTTCCCTAGAAAAGTTTTATTTTCAAACAAATACTGAGCAATCTATCATGTGAGAAATCTGCATACTGAACATACTTGTATAAAGTAGTGAACTACACAGAGAGAATGACAGAACACTTGACATTGATTGACAGGTTAAAGGACAGACCCATTGACTGAAATAGTTGAGTCATCTTTGGATGATCCCACGAGGTGGTCTGCTGCTCATGACTGAAACATAATTAATCATCAACATCAATTCCCTGGATTTGGATTCTGTCAAATGGAAGCATGAAAATGATATAAAGATTTGGAATGTTTTTCTCACACGTATTTGAAGGAGATCACATTAATTTAATCAATCATTTGTTAATGAACATGTGGAATTAGTAATTATACACTACCGTTCAAAGGTTTGGGGTCAGCAAGATTTTTTTAATACTTTTATTTAGCGAGGATGCATGAAATTGATCAAAAGTGACAGAAATATTTTGTCACATTATAAATGCCTTTACTATTTCAAATAAATTTGTATTCATCAAGAATCCTGAAAAAACGGTTTCCTCAAAAATATAAAGCAGCACAACTGTCTTCAACAATGATAATAATAAGAAATGTTTCTTGAGCAGCAAATCATCATATTAGAATGATTTCTGAAGGATCATGTGACACTGAAGACTGGAGTAATGATGCTGAAAATTCAGCTTTGCGTCAAATTACATTTTAAAGCAGCATTATGTTACTTTTGGAATTTTGCTCTCGGGGTCCCCCTACAGTTGGGAAACAGTATTGTCATCTACTAATGTCGTAAAATCGGTCATGGTTACACTAGGGAGAAGGAAGGAGTTCTCACATCTTGGGCAGACTCCAGTGTTGCGTGTGAAATGTCTTCATCCCAGGTACATTGGTATATATTTCAGCATGTCATGAATATAGTTTCATGGGCTTTATTTTTATCAAAAGTCAAAAGATCGCGTAGCTCACTTTTATTTCAAGCCAGCGTCTTTATAGTAACGTTAGCCTATTGGCTACTGTTTTACATAATGGATATGCTAATTCAATTCAATGTTTGTTGGTAGATACCATGTCGTCAACATTATAATATCAAGCTACCATAGATCAATCTGCATTGAGTCTACATTGGATGCAGCGAGGGGCGAAGCTACACAACACATTACCAACAGTAAACTGATTGCGCTCGCGCTCTGTTTCTGATGCACTTTACATTTGCTAGGCGGGGGAAGATTGATGCACCACACCGGACCGGAGTCGGGGGACTTAGTTACGTTTTTGTGGAGTATTATGAATTAATGTTTTTAAAATAGTATTAGTATAAAAAAATCACTTGTTCGCTCATTTTGGCGTACTCTATGGATGAGTGGCGCCAGCCACTCGGTCGAGACACCCATCACTGCATCCACTTGTATTGGACCGTCCAGCTACATCATTGTGCTACAGGCTGCAGCGAGGACCTCTTGGATTGGTCGGGCAGCCCTCCTCCTCCTTTGGCCACTCCCCTTTTTTCTCTTTCTACTGTTCTCCAACAAAACATTTGGCTTCTTGTTTTTACTCGCTGCTTCAGCCATGACAACGTACAGAGGTAAAAAACGCTCGTTGGGCTCTCGCGTCGAAATTTGAGGATTTTTGAGGAAATTTGTGGTTCTTTTTGTGCTCGGGTTCCTACCCGAAACTCGAAGTTACATCATGCCAGTAAAAGCGATACAGACCACGTCAGGCTATGGCAGACCTGTCATTCAACCCAGACAGCAAACTGACATTGAATCAACGTGGAAACGACGTCTCTCATGACATTGAAACAACGTTGATTTTGCACATCGAATTAACGTTGAACCAACGTCAGACGCGGCATTCTTCAAAGCTAAATGAAAATCGAAAATTGGTTTGCGTTCATAACGTTGAAACAACGCGTTGATTTCAAGTTGATTTTCCGTTAGTTTTGAAAGAATGACGCGTCTGACGTTGGTTCAACGTTAATTCGATGAGCAAAACAATGTCAGATCAACGTTGTTTCGATGTCATATTTCCACGTTGATTCAATGTCAGTTTGCTATCTGGGAACCTATTGCAAGTCGATGTACCATCTCAAGGATTTTGGAAAAAATATTATAAAGGTTGAATAAGCTACATAGTGCTGCTCAATAAATTCAAATAGAAAACCATTTTTTAAACTGCAATCAAATTTCACAAAATTAATGTTTTTACTGTAGTCTTCAGTATGCAGCCTTGGTGAGCATAAGAGACTTAAAAAAACATGTAATAAAAATGTAAAAATGTGGTTAATGCAATACATTTTAGCAAGGGTGACTGTGCAACTGGATTTAAATGTGTGGACTAACTTTATTCTGATGCAAAACTGAACACATGGGAAATCACATGAAATGCATCAAGTGTCATAGCGGAGATGAGAATGTATGAAGCAAAACTCACTTGATATAATAAGGGACGCCATTATGAAAAACAGCTCTCTGCCACGGGAACTGAACGGAAACTGGTTGGGGAGACAAGGTTTCAAAGGTAAAATCATGGCACTTGAACAACTTTCAAACAATACAGTTTTATATTGGAAAAATAGGAAATAGTACTTAAGACAAATTGGGGTTTCCCCACTTTTTGACCAATTTTATGGTTTGTTCAGCTGATTCAAGCTGACTTGATAAGGATTGGGTTTTTTTTATTTTTTTTTATAGGAATTGTGTTCCAAAAGACCAATTTCTAGCCAGTAAAATACTTCAGAGTTTAGTATAATGTAAACCATTCAAATGTTTGAGGTCAGCAAGATTTATCTTTAATAGAAGTCACTTATGCTCACCAAGGCTGCATTTAAAAACAGTAATATTGTGAAATATTATCACATTTCTAAATAATTTATTCCTCTGATGCAAATATTCAGACCCATTGCTCCAGTCTTCAGTGTCACATGATCCTTAAGAAATCATTCTCATATGTAAATTTGCTGCTTAATATTTTTGTGGAAACGGAGATAAAACAAATTCAGGATTCTTTGAGGAATAGAAAGTACTAAAGAACAGCCTTAATGTAAAATTCTTCTGATCACTTTAATGTATGCTTACTAATTTGAAGTCTGACTGACCCCAAACTTTTGAATGGTAGTGTACAGTAAGTTTCCCGGGCCTGAAAATCCCATTTTTTAAATGCAAAAGGTTTTCCATGATTATGGGAATGCTGTAAAATGTTTAAAAAACATCACGCACAACTTACCAGACAAGAAGTCATGGGACAAATGTCTCCTATCCGTTTGAGAGCATTGCAACTGCCGTTGCTGATTACCCGTAGTCCCCTGATAAGATTTTGAAAAAGACAAAATTCTCTCAAACAATCAAGATTGAATGATTTTGACTACAACAGATGGCAATATAAAAATGATGCCTAACATCTTACTGTGCTGTCAGACCATAATGCACTGAAATAGACCCCAACCGAGCCATAATAGTAGTTCAGATCAGAGGGAAATTACAGCTTTAAAGGCTTTTCATCCAAAGAGAAGAATAAGCAGGGGGCAGTCTGGAGAAAAATAAAGACATTGTACTGGGAAAATAAGAAAGAAGTCTCTGGTACTTCACTTCTGAAATGACCAGATGCTCATTATCCAACATGCTTATCTTCAAGAGCCTGTGGAGACACATCTCTGCCAAAATATAATGAGTCTCCTTGTCATCATACTGTATGTGAAGCCACAATACCACATCCCAAAAGCACAAATGGTGCAACTCTTTCAGTTATATTATTATAACTATTACATCAAATCCCAAGATGCTCACTTGAGGTGACAAATATTGTTGTTTGAGCTCCAAAAATGAGTTAGCTAGCAGCTGTCTGACTGTGGTTTGATGGGGAGCATTGGTGAAACAAGTCCCAAGATTGTCATTGGGTGGGTAGCAGATTAATTATCTGTGTTCTCCAGCTTCCCAGGTCGATATGGAAGGTCAATATTTCTGCCCACAGGATCCTCAAAACAACATGACAGTCACACTCGTCAAGACTCGGGATAAAAGGAGCAATCAAAAACAAACTGGGCTCTGCGTGGTCTGAGTGATCCTAAAGCGAGATTAAAAAGAATCAATTCTTCAAGGTCAATGCTGGGGTTTGAATGCATCTTATGAGCAGGTCAGTGATGCCAGCCAGCTTAAATTGACATATTTATAACTATTATTTGGGCTAGTAAAAAAAACATTACAAACCCGAAGACTAAAACAATCCAAAAGCAATGTATTAGCTATGAAACGACTGAGACAAATCAGACACATTTATTTGTTATATTTAACACAAATAATCCTTAACAGTGTTTTCACATATAGTTCATTTTAGAAGAACCAAAATCAGTTCAATTAAAGTCAACCAGCCGAAAGTGACCCTTTGGTGTTCTCTAGTGGACTCAAAAGAGAACCCTGTATCTTTTTTGATCCTCTTCTGCATTGAAGTGATCTCAGACCCTTTCTTGTTCATACCACAACCTCAAAATAACTCAGATCCCAGATTTCTGTGCATTTTGCATGTCCTTCAACAACATCTGTCAGACAAGCACAAGCGCTTGCACATAAAATTTCATCCAGGTTGTCGTAGAAGGGACAGGAATCCTTAAAGGAGTAGTTCACTTTTGAAAAAACTTTTGCTGATAATTTACTCGCCCCCATGTCATCCAAGATATCCATGTATTTCTTTCTTCAGTTGAAAAGAAATTAAGGTTTTTGATGCAAACATTCCAGGATTTTTCTCCATATAATGGACTTTAATGGGAACCAAACGGTTCAGGGTCCAAAAGACAGTTTCAGTGCAAACTGCAAACTGTTCAAAGGGCTTTAAACGATTCCAGATGATGAATAAGGGTCTTATCAAGTGAAACGATCGCTCATTTAATAAATAAATAACAAAGTTTAAGTTTTGTAAGCTCAAATGGTCGCCTTGCTCTGTTAGGGTTAGGGTTAGGGTGTGATGCACGTTCGTGAATCTCCTAATCGAACTCGTTCATCAAAATGAACGAATCTTTTCCCGAGTCAACTTGTTCATTTCGTTCGTTGAATGAACCAAATGACACGAAAAAAGATTTGTTCATTTTGATAAATGAATTCGAACAGGTGAGTCACGAACGCACATCACAGAACAAAGCTTCAATAGGAACCAAACAGACCGTTTGGTTCCCATTGAGGTCCATTATATGGAGAAAAATCCTGCAATGTTTTCATCAAAAACCTTAATTTCTTTTCGACTGAAGAAATAAAGACATGGATATCTTGGATGACATGAGGGTGAGTAAATTGTTAGCAAAGGTTTTTTTAAAGTGAACAGTTCACAGTTAAGTTCACGCACCACAGATAATGAAACACATTCATTTATATTCCAACTGTCTACTTTCACTTTAGACAGAACAGACTGTGTTTATGTTTGTGTGTGTGTGTGTGTGTGTGTTTGACAGTTTAACCCCAACATGCTAAAGACAACTTAGCTCAGTAGCCTACTTGTGCGCTGCAAGTTTCTATTGTGTGCATGCGCTCAAAACAGCAAGCAAATGAAATGTTATGCAACATTATTTTATGCATTTATTTATGCATGCAAATAATACACGTTCATTACTGTGAATAACTGCAGTGTCACGTGAGCTTAACTCTACCGCTGCATTAACATGTAAAGTCAATGTATTTCGTGCTGTAGATGTTGGGACGGGGGCGCCAGAACTGCATAGAATAGTCAGTAGCATTTCTTCAAAAGCAGTACTTATGTTGAAACGAAATGCAAAGTGGACCAGGACCTCATCCCTTTCACATCACAAAGAAATCGAACCACAAATTGAGGTGATCGGAGTATGGTTCACTTTTTGGTTCAGAGGAACCAGGTGTGAAAACTGGAATCTACGGACTCATCCCCTAACTAGGGCAAGAAGGGCCTTAGTTACCATGACTCCTAACTGATAAGAAGGTTTATTGCTCTAAAAAATGTAATCACATGGAAAAAGCAGAGGCCATAGAAAAGACCCACAGCCCTTAAAACAGACTTTCCTGCATTCATTTATAGACAAACTGATCTATAAATGAACATGCATCCCAGGACACTAGAATGATTTACTGTCTTGTGTAATGTCGTTTGATACTGTTATGTCTTTGATACTATGTATTTTATGATAGAGCCAAGGGTCAATGTAACCTCAATTATAGCATGTTTGATCTCTATAAATTGGTACTTTGAAGATCAAAATGATTGTGTATATAATATGTCAATAGCAAATTGATCTCTTTTATAAAACTCAACCTAATCTGACCTGGCAAGATAGTTCAATCAAACAGATGCATGTACTCACAGGTCTTGTTAAATGCCCTTGTAATGCCAAATCTGTGCAAGACTTCCGCCTTATTCCATTCAAGGCTAAACTTACATCAAATATTTCATATTTGGTCATCACATGAGATGTGAGACATGAGGGATAGCTACCTGTGATATAGCCAAATATATAATAGAGTTCTGAGGATATGGAGGTCAAACTGGAATAAACTGAAGACCAGACAGTGAACGTGCTGACACCTGCAGTACAAGAGTACATTTCCCCCCTTCTCTCAATAAACACTGATAAGAATATTTAATACTCTCAAATAGACGCATACCTAATCCTAAATAAAAGACACCTTGCTTATCAAATCATGTCATAAAATAATATAATAACAGATTTTATAATAAAGAGTTCCTATACTGATAAAGATGACTTATATTGAAATGTTATAATTTTACATTATGGTATAACCATAAAGTTGGTCAATAATATAAATCACTGCTGTTTTGCCTGTTTTAGAACAAATTTCACCTAGAATTGTATAGGCTTAAATTGAAATCATCTATTAAAACATTTTGAAATCTGGAATAGAAATTGGTTTTAGAACGAACTATATTTAACATGTCCTTAATATTTAAAATAAAAAATAATTCTGAAGCATTTATTAATCTTAGTTAATGTTAGATGAAAATGAAGAATAAGTTCCAACACAAAGTTTAATGATACACTGTAACGGATTTTGTAATTTGAACAGTATTTTACTGTAATATGTACACTATAATACTGTCAAATGTGTCAACAGTATAATACTGTAAATAGCCAAGGATTATGGGAAAATATGTGTTTACTACTGTAGTTATTTTCTACTGTAAATCGTAAAAAAATCTAATTATGTAATAGGAAAGCAATTCTAATACTGTAAATTAAAATACGGTAGTTGCACTCATGAATAAAGTATACAGAATTATTCCTGTAAATTAAAATATGGTACTTGTACTGTAAATGAAAAATATAGAACTCATTCTGTAAATATTAATACAGTATACGATTGTCGTACTGTAAATTAAATTACAGTACTGATACTGTAAACACTTTTAGAGTAACTTATTGGCATCCAGCTGCCAGTAAGTTACTGTAAAATCTACAGCAACCTTTTTACAGTGTACTATTCCAACAGGTAGGCGAACAGGCATTGGCTAAACTAACTTAAGTAAATTAGTGAATACAAATGAAACTGATATAAAGACTTTCATAATGACAGAAACCCTGACAACCAAGGAGTGGTGGGAAACTGAACAAAGGGAGACAGAAACTAATGCATGCAAACTAAAAAGTCCATGATAACTAAAGAAACTGAACATAACGTTGACAGTTACTTTCAACAATTACGAATACATTGTCAAAATCAAAAGTTGTATCTGTCAATGTTATTTAATGGACATGGTCTGACATAAATACTTTGTAGTATTTTTGTAGTAATGTAAGATTAATAAAGACTCTATAACAAATGAATTGACTATGGTTAGTTAATTTTATTTATTGCATCTACTAGCATCAGCTAATGGGGCCTTATTGTACACGAATACTGTAATTTATCTATTTGAACTCACAATATTTTCCTCGTTCTCCAGCACACAGTTGACCACGTTGTGTTCCTCAGAGTGCCAGTTTTCATTCTCTATCTCGAGATGGCTGAGCTCCAGTTGGTTCATGGCAATCTGGAGGTCCTGAAGTTTCCCCAGAGCCCAGTCAACCTGGTGCTGCCAGCTGGCGGCCTGAGCACTGAACCGCTCCCAGTGTTGCTGAACCTCAAAGGCCTGGTCCTGAACCGCTTGAGCCAGCTGATGAATCTTCTCTGTCTGTGCTGTCTCTGCTAGAAGTTAAAATCTATTTTCAGTCAAATGACCTCAAACGAGATGGTCTTTGTCATCGTTTAGAGTGATTATTTCTCCCTCAGTAAGAATAACAATGTTTTCTGCAAGGATTTTCTGCATATAATGACACAAATGTGGCATCCTTAACATTATTACAGTGACTCCAGCCACAGCCGCTGTTGCGCAAACACATCCCTGTCCCATTTGTATTGCACGGAACTGCAATCTGATATACGTAAATAAACACTCTATGCTCTCTCTCTCTCTTGTAGCTTTGGAAAGATTCATCCTAACCGCTCCTTCTCTCTTAAATGTAACTTTGTGAAGTCGAGTCGGTTCGTCCAAACTGGTCCTCTCATATAGCTCTGAAAACTTAGATCTAGTCTAGTGAATCGGCTTTCCCTATCGGTCCACTCTCTGCTTTGAAAAGTTCGATTCTTTCCACGAAATCACTTTGTTCGAATTGTTCTTGTAAGCATTTTGGTTACTAACGTAACCTGGTTCCCTGGAATAACGGAAAAGTTCCCTTTTTTAATTGTTCACACGCATTGCATCACTTGCTGAGGCTTTGGGGAACCTAATCCAATAGCGCCGTGTTACGAGCAGAGAACAGAAGACCCGTCAAGGTTAAGGGCCCTTAACAGGCTTTCATCGACCAACACTAGGGTGTAGATATCTGGAGGGAAAGCCAGAATTCGTCAATATGTATAGTGTAGTTTAATTATGGTTAAAACCAACGCATTCTCATCCTAGGGCGTACGTTGGCAAAGGGCACCCTTTAGCGTCAATATAACACGAACAGAGCTTGGTTCGGTTATGGGTAGGTTTAGGTCTGGGGTAGGGTCAGGGTTAGACCACTAGGAGGCGCCTTCTGGCCCATATATATATCTGCGTCTCATATTGATGCTAAAGGGTGCCATGTGCATTGGATGAAGACAAAATGTCAAAAGCGTCAGTATATGGCGCCTTGGGAAGGGAACTGTCTGTTAAAGCTGCAGTCGGCAAGTCTGGCAGATTGAGTGGACTAGGCAAAATTTTGAATGTTTACAACTCATATGGCCCTCCCCCAGTATCAACGAATACCCTCCCACAGAGTTCGTGTTCAAGTGCGTGCGCACCCGGTTATCTGTGAACGCGACCGTCTCACCAGCATCCATCAACACCATGGATTATTTGGAGGTATGCTGCCCTGGCTAATCTACCAATATATTGCAATTGCTAACGTCATTTATACTGTAAATGAGCTTACTTGGTTTGTTTGTTTTCCACCATCACTTTTCCTTACTGCGCGAACTTCAGGCGTGTGCATGTGATTGCAACGTGCGCGAGGAGTGGCGTGTGCCCGATCTGTGATTGACAGTCAGATCGCACACCCCCCTGCGCTGATTGCACCCGATTATCCGGGAGCGCTGGATTTTTGCAGAACAAATAACACACTCAAGATGGAGTTAGAAGCTTGGGTTTTTTTCTAAAACCACTTTATTTATGTTGTTCTGTCGGATTATAGTGTCGATTTTACTGAATATGATCAAAAAAATGTTGCCGACGGCAGCTTTAAAACTTATGTTGTCATCTCGCTTTTATACACTATTAGCACAAGCCTGTTGTATCGGACCCCGTCTAAATGATGGCCAAAATGTTGCTGATTCGGGTTTTTAAACTTCTCACATCAAGTTTATTGTATATCACACAAAAGATGAAGTGTCTTATTGACCCTCGTTCACAAAGCAGTACAAAATGATTCATTCAGACATAAACAAATTTAGCTTATTCCCTTCACCCAACAACAAAACACAGGAGTTGCTTACGAGACATTCTAGTCGACTAGACATTTTCCTAGTGGAGTGGGCCCTCACTCCAATAGGACATAGCAAGCCCAAGGAAGTGTAGGCCAGCATTATTGTGTCCACCATCTACCGGGATAGTCTTTGGTTCGTAACCGGCAGCCCTTTAGTGCGATCTCTGAAGAAAAAAGCTGCTCTGATTGCCAGAATTGGCTTGAGGGGTCAACATATACTCTGAGGAACTGGAGTAGGTGCAAGAACTGCTCATCCTCCGAAACAGGGAGAACAAAGAGAGTTCCCTATGACCTGTGCCCTGAACAAAGTGGAGAACACCTTAGGCACACAGCCTAAGGACAACCTTACTCTGTCTAAGGACAACCTTACAGTCGTTTGGCCCAAACTCAAGGTAGGATGCGCTCACAGAGAGTGCCTGCAGGTTGCCAACTCGCTTGATCTTCTACTAAAGCCAGCAGGAGGGCAGTCTTGAGCAAAAGGAGCAGCGGGGTGGCTGTCTGTAGCAGTTCAAAGAGTTTTGGAGAGCCAAGAGGACTATGAACAGGTCCCCAGGTCGGAACCATGTGGGGGCGAGGCGGATTCAGTCTTCTAGCACCACCTAAGGGAATTTCACTATTAAGCTGTTCTTGCCAACCGACAGGCTAGAGGTGGGGGTATGTTACAATAGTTGCCACATATACTTTGAAATTGGATGGGGTGCGCCCCTCCTCCAGAAACTCCTGCAAAAAGGACAAGTTTGATGCAACAAGATATCACAAGATAAAGGGTCTACGTTCTCCGTTCTCAGGCTGCACACCAGCCGAATAAGACAGACCACAAGGACGATTGGAAGGTGGTCCGGCTGTAACGGACCAGAAAGAACGAGGCAGATCTCTGGCAGGGAGCTCGCTGCTAGTGCCACGGCTTTAGGAATCACTCGTCAATGCAGCTGTGGGGGCTGACCCCTCCAAGCCAAGCTCTTCAACAGCCTTGGTAAGGACAAGGATAAGTTTGCTTCCAGACCACGACTGACATCACATGGATCCCTAGGCAGCAGAGGGCGGAGTCTGACCACCCTGCTGAAAAATCCAGCTAAAACCAGCCAAGGCTGGTTGGCTGGCTTTGGCTGGTCTCCCAGCCTGGTTATAGTTGGTTTATCAGGCTGGTTTTAGAGGGGTTTTGAACACTTTTTCAGCTGGTCAGGCTGGTCTTAGCTGGTCAAGTTGGTTTTAGCTGGTCAGGCTGGTATTAGCTGGTCAGTCTGGGAGACCAGCTTGACCAGCTAAGCCAGGCTGGGAGACCAGCTTGACCAGCTAAGCCAGGCTGGGTGACCAACTAAAACCAGCTACTTCTAGCTTAAACCAGCTAAGACCAGCCAACCAGCCTAGGCTGGTTTTAGCTGGATTTTTCAGCAGGGCAATACTCTGCAAAAGAAACAAATTCCACCTCAGAACCTCAGACCAAGCTGCTTGCACCAGATGAGGGCAGCTGGAGTTCGCAGGAGAAGAGCACCAGGGAATCCTTTCACTGTGGGGGATCTGGACCGATGTAAGCTCACTTGTTCTCATACTCCACTGGTTTCTTCCTCCAAGAGGAAGAGAACAAGGGAGCTCGAGGGGCGGGATGGCTTTTTTGGAATCGCGGATCTTGGAAGAAAGCAATCCGCAAGCGCAGCGAGGCGAGACTCAAGCTCTTGCAATTGGAGCAATCCATCTTGATGAGCACGGCCTCAGCATGGGTGTGGCCCAGGCAGGCACCGCACTCAGAGTGCTCATCTGAAAGGTGCAGGGGTGCCCTTCATTTGCCCCACTAGTGGTGAGACCTTTTAGCGCAAATGCAGCAAAAAGTATGCTCTTTTAAAGTAGAATTTGCTCATTTAGTCTCTCCGGATAGCCGCAGGAGAAGCGCTGTCCCTCAGCTGCAGTGCTGTCAGCATCATCACTCTGCTGCTGGGGCTCTTCCACGGCAAAGACTTCTCGTGTTCTTCTTCTTCTTCAGAACCAGGATATGATCTTGAATGAGAAACATTCTGATGAAATAGCATTCAGTGCCGACTTATATAGGCAAATTGCCCCGTCCATTTGGGCACCCTGTAGGCTCCGTCCGTAATTCGTAATTGGGCGTAGGCTCCGTCCGTAATTCGCATTCTGAGGGTACGGAATCTGCATAATCCTGCCTGAAGACGAAGGCAGGGGCACAGCCCACCCCCTACGAAGTAAGGAAGGGTGCCATCTGGTGGTGGTGGGGTGGAAGGAGGAGAGGACGTCCTGACATCTTCATGGTAGAGGGGACTCAGGGGAGAGCCCATCTGGAGGTGGTGGGAAGGATGGAGGGGAGGACCCCGGCACGTGAATGTTAGGTAGATGAAGGAAAGGTCCCGTCTGGTGGTGGATGGGGAGGATGGAGGTGGTTGAAGCGACAGCATCTGAGAACTCAGACATGTACCACCTTTTTATACTGGCTATTAGGATATGATTGGATAAGTGAGAAGGTAATAATACATGACGTGAACGATTGAGTCTTCCTGGTAGAACTTGCGCTGGCTTCATTTCTGATTATATTACAAATTATATAATTGATGATAAGTTAGTTAAATTATTTGGTAATAAAGCTATTGTCCCCTTAAGTAGCTCCAATGTACCAATACTTTAAAAAGAGTATCTGTACATATTTATTTGTTAGGCCTAAATATGCCAGAGGCATTTGGGGTTACCCAGGACTGAATAGTTTAGTAGTTCATAAAGCATGGAGACAAAGATTAGTCCTAAACATATTACTGTGGACCAAAACTTACTGTGTGTCATCATTACTGAGGACTCTTATCTTTCCTCTGTGATCAGATTTACATCCGTACCCTTCAGCACTCTCTCACTTTTCACTTTGTGTCTTATAAGGTTTATTGTCTCCACTGAGCCATTTCAGAGACGCATAAATCAAGCAGCAACGACGCTATAGACGGAAACTATGACCTCCAGAAATGAAACGTGTAATAAAAAATTAGTGTTTGAATCCAGGAGACGACCATTTACATCAGAAAGACAATAGACATAAAATTTGACACTTGGTGGCATCTTTAATAGAAACAGACAATTGAGGACAAGACAAGACTGCTAGGTGAAATCTATCACTGTAATAAAGTGTGTTTAACAGTTGGGTGATAATAAGAAGACATGTTCAACATATTCAGCATATTTTTCTTATGTTCAGTTCAGCATAAGAAATCAGCATATTAAAATGATTTCTGAAGGATTATGTGACACTGACACTGAATGATCACAAAATTCAAGATATGGTGGTTAGAAAATGTATATATTTATACCATTTTATGTAGTTAATCAATATCACACGAAGAGTGCCATTTCAGTTTTTCTCATCCAAAAATCAGTATGATTAAAATGTGATATTAAGTTACTACAACAGTTTAATAAACAATAATTTAATTACAACTACAAAATGTTGCAGAATAATGTAATATATGAATGAATGATAGCCTATAAAGAACCTTTGTGCCAAAAGTGTTCTTTCTTGTCATTATGGAACCGTTTTTAGCATAAAGGATTCGAGTTGAGTAAAGAACCCTTCATTTACAGAACCCCAATGAACCCTTTTTCTAAGAATGTACACAGCAATTTGAGTTAATTTAAAATTAATTAATTAATTTTTTTGAAATTAATTTTTCTTGAAGTCTCCTGCTTCTCAGATTTTTCTCCTAAGAAAAAGATATACATCTCCAGAGTTTCAGTGAGGATGTCTCAAACTTATCAAACTATCTGCTGAGAACTGCAACACCAAAGCCTGCAATCAAAAGATTTTAACACGAACTCTTCAATATGGCATTATTATCAAAGGCAAAAATGATCTGAGCTTTTCTTGATGTGAAACATAACTGATAAGTTTTGTGCTATAAATGAAAAACCTCTAAAACAGCAAAACTAAATGTTCCTCTGGGAGGATTCAAAACAGTGAAAAATAATCAAAAACAGTCTCTCACCTGCAGCCGTCTCTGTACTGATCTGGACCTCCATTGTTGTAGGTTGGACAGCCAGAGACAGACACACCTGATTCAGAGTGCCGTCTACATCCTGTCCAATCAACTCTCTGTGCAAGGCCTGTGTCGAACAGCTCATTAAAGATGCAGAGGTGTGACATTTAAACTAAATGTAGACATTCATTACAACTCATTCTGAACACATTAGAGGGGGTGAAATTGGAGATATAATTACTCGAAAAACAATCAAAAACAAAGCAGAAACCCAAACATTAGCTGAGCTGATTGATTGTGGAACAAAATCGTTGTTTGAAACAGAGGGAAGACGTGTTGTGGTCGATATCAGAAGGAAAACTTTTGATTAATTCTGCATGGTTTAAAGGACAAGTTCGGTATTTTACAATTAAAGCCCAGTTTTAAGATCGAGACCAAGAATGGTTAAGATTGTTTTTTAGTCAGATCCTGCTGTCCCGAGAATTTTCAGTTCCTGTGGTAGCACCCCCCACCTTCACAATGGTAGCATAGGTGCACAACAATCCTTTATAATGCCTGGTTTAGAATCAATTACAAGATTTTTGGTCTGTTACGATAGTCACTGTGTCAGATTACGCGATTTTGACTCCTAAAATCTTGTCGTGTCGTGGAAAAGACACATGTCATTGCTTCCTGACCAGTCATCGCATGCCATCTTTAACGGCGCGCATGATGTCATTGAAAAGGCGAAACTTGTAGCGAGTAGGGTTGGGTATCGTTTGAATTTGAACGAGTCTGATTCCGATTCCTTGTTTCGATTCCGGTTCCTAACGATTCTCGATTCTGATTCTTTTAAGAGCCAGGGTCAAAAAAGTTTAGCTAACCTTGCTAACCAACGGTCTTTCTGGAGGAAATAATCCTTTCTGAAGGAAATACTCCTTTTGTCACAAACACACACTTTGGACCGCCGACGTAAGCTAGTCATGTTCGACTCTCGCGCTGTTATGGCAACACTTCCGGTAGACGCTTCTTCGTTGGTGTTGTTCAGCGGTTTCTTCTTCCGCTCGGCGGACTGTGAATATCGAAACTAGGAATCGAAATTTTAACTTTTGAACGATTCCGGGAAAAACGAAAAGTTAGTCCCGGTTCCAATCGATACTCGATTCTCGATACCCAACCCTAGTAGCGAGTGACTTCCGGAAACGAACGTAAACAAACAATGGATGAAGCGGTGAGTGTTGTATTGGCTATCCTGTGTTTCAATAAAAAAGTTAAAAAAGAAAGAAAACCCGACAATGGAAACGTTCCTGGATTGCTCGAAGAGGACAGTCTGGGCTGTCAATCCTCCAAAGAGAACATGAGGTAAAACATTGTTTTCTTATATATTTTTACTTTTAACATTAGCACCATCGTCTCTCTGTCGTTTCGCCATTTTTGAAAGTTGTGTACAGAAAAGCTTCTGTGCTCCTATTGGTCAACCTTATACATGTGACGGAATCGTCGTGGACGACCGTTAAAAAAAAATTAAACATTTGTCGTGATGTCGTGAAGCATCGCAGACACGCTGTAGGTTGTCGCCCGCTATGACACACTATACGAGATGATACGATCGAATCTTGCGTCCCGATGCCCGTTGTCGTTTACGAATCCCCACGACACACTACGTCAAACGGATTGTGCCAAAATCGTGCAATCTGAACCAGGCATGAAACGCATAAAACTTTACTTTACAAAGACGTGAAACTCACCGAGTGGTCTGGGGTGTTCACTGATATCCTCAGACAAAAATCGCTGCAAAAGATGCTTTCCAACAGGTTCTATCGTAGTTTTTGTACAACTCCATTGACTTGTATTGTATGTTGTGTGATGTACGGTAGTCTGCCGCCGGAAACGGAAATTGTATTCTTTCTGTAGTCTTATGCAGTCGCGGTATCGTAGGCTACACTATACAAGTGGTTTGCTTGCAATCGGGAAAGGTGCATTATCGCCACCAACTGGGCTGGAGTGTCTATTATTCAAGCTCTCAACGGAAGAATGTACAGAAAAATAGGTCTACAGTTTTACAACGAATGGTAAAACACCTGTTGGAAAGCATCTTTTGCAGCAATTTTTGTGTGAGCATATCAGTGAACACCCTAGAGCACTCGGTGAGTTTCACGTAAGTTTCATGCGTTTTATGAAGGATTGTTTCTGTGCACCTATGCTACAATTGTAGAGGTGCTACCACAGAATCCAAAAATTCTCGGGACAGCAGCATCTGTCTAAAAAACAAACTTAACCATTCTATTTCATCAGAAACGATCTTAAAACAGGGCTTTAATTGTAAAATTCCAAACTTGTCCTTTAAAATCATCTAATAATGAGCGTCCGACTATAATAATAAGATAAAAATGAACATGTGGGGAAAATGAGGTGGTTTTTTTCTCTGTAAAATACTGATTAATTCAATCGTTACAAATAAAATAATACTTCATAATGTTGTTCACAGCTATAAATATTTAAGTTCTGTTTGTGAAGACAGCTTTACAGCAACTGATGTAAATAATGCATTTTTTAAGACATTAAATGCAATAAACTGCAATGATTAAACATCTAGGGCATCAATAATTCAGCAGTGCAATAACAAATAAAATCAATTCACAGCTTCTCCTTGAGGGAAAAGTAATCAAGGGGTTTAATTATGTTGTATTGTATCTTATTATTATACACAATATCTGAGGACTGCCTGTTTAAAAAGGCAATGTAATCAGTGCATGCGGGTAGGAGGTGCCGGTACAAAGTGATAAATTATAAAACATTATGTGTAAAAAAAAGAACATCACTCATAATGGACTGTAGGTGTTTAACTCTCCTTCTACTGAGATTTAATGGTTCTTACATCCAGAAATGCCTTGTTTTGTTTGGTTTAACCTGTGGACATGCACACAGTGTGACTGACCGTACAGTAGCCTTGCTGCTGCAGTAAAGTATGTACATCCTCTCCCACCGGCCTTTGCCGTGCCAGCTCCTCATCTTTCAGCTTCACCCAGAACCAAAGCTCTTCAAGGATGGCTATTAGCCCGGTCCATTTCTCTGCACCGGCCTCCAAACACTCTCTAATAGCACATGACAATTTGAAGAAAAGTTCAGGACGTTATGTTCTGATTTTAAGATATCTCTTTGTTTGTATTGCTGGATATTGCACAGACCTTCTGGAGGCTATGTGAATGTGGTCCACATCTTTGAACTTATCAAGCTCTTGTGCCTTGGTATTTGGGATCTGACCTCTCAAAGCCCTTTTAGAAAGATCAGTCTGGGTATCAACATCTGTCTGAATGTCCTGAGGAGACATAACAGCATGCAGACGTTAAAATTGCACCAATTCAAAGGAATCTCAATGGACACTGATTAAGTGATCCTCTCCTTGTTCTGTCCCCTATGAATTTAATTAAAGTGTAGAGGAAATAGCACTGCTTCAATGGCTGTTAAATGAGACTAATGAAGGAAGACAAAATCTGGAAAACGAGTGACAAACAATTTCAAAGGACTTTCAAAGTAAAGTATTGCCTCAAACAGCAGACATCTCACCTGTGCTTTTAGCAGTCTGCTGTAATTCCTACATATTAAAATCTTTCATTTATGGTGGCAGTCGCCTCAAAGCCTCCACAGACATATAATGACTGGTCGGTTTATATCAGAGGAAATGTGGCTCTCCCGTTTAGGGCTGCAGTGATGATATTCAACCAAAGAAAGACATCAAGCAGAGACATAACAGACAGTCTTTGCTTATTATGCTGGAACCCATTAAAATAACAATACCGTTATCTATACTGCTAACAAGTAAATGGCAAAGAAAAAACAAAATGACATTTGCCATCATTATTACTGCCAGAGATGTTTTAAAAAATGATCATAATCGAATGTGCTCTTTGCACACATAATGATGAGGTTGTGATAAAAAAGAATTTACACTAGTATAGTAAAATAATTCAAAAGTTTGAGCTGCTGGATAAAAAAAATACACTACAATTTCCTGGGTTAACTGAATCATCAACATGTTCACATTAGCATTCAGAGGACAACAATGACACAGCAATTGAAGAAGCAATCTGATGTGAAACTGAGCAATATCAATAACCATCAATGACCATCAAAATTAACAGACTGATTTTAACCAGGAAAGCCTAAAGCCTGCTCTGATCACACCGTCTGCGCATGGAACGAAGCATATAGTCTTTTCTGGATGTTAGGACAATAAACTGAACAACTCTATAGACCATTTCACAAGATGTAAACAACACTGCTCCAGAAGCACTTCCTGTTTCAGTTTTTTAACACTACATAAAAGCTGAGATAAAATACAACCAACAGAACATTTAAAACTGAATCAAAAAGTTAAACAAACATCTTTAAGATGTTTTCTTTACATGTGAAATAAAGAAAACAGTTACAAACTGAAACAGGAAGTGTTTCTGGACCAGTGTTGTTTACATCTTGTAATGGTCGATAACATACTGTGAGGGGATAGAGATACACTGTAAACCCTAAAAAGTTGCCTATACATTTTTTTTAAGTTAACGGAGTAGTTGACTTTTAAAAAAAACTTTTGCTGATAATTTACTCACCCCCATGTCATCCAAGATATCCATGTCATTCTTTCTTCAGTCGAAAAGAAATTTTTGATGAAAACATTCCAGGATTTTTTTCCATATAATGCACTTTACTGGTAACCAAACGGTTCAAGGTCTAAAATACAGTTTCAGTGCAAACTGCAAACTGTTCAAAGGGCTTTAAATGACACCAAACGATGAATAAGTCTTATCAAGCGAAACAATCGCTCATATAAAAAAAAAAAATTAAGTTTAAGTTTTATAAGCTCAAATGGTCGCCTTCTGTTCTGTGATGAGCATTCGTGACTCTCTTGTTCGAACTCGTTTATCAAAATGAACACATTTTTTTTTGTGTCATTTGGTTCATTCAACCAACGAAATGAACGAGTTGACTCGGGAAAAGATTCGTTCATTTTGAAAACTTAAACTTTGTTATTTTTTTTAGTTTTTAAATGAGTGATCATCTCGCTTGATAAGACCCTTATTCATCGTCTGGAATCGTTTAAAGCCTTTTGAAGCTGCACTGAAACTCTCATTTGGACCTTGAACCGTTTGGTTCCCATTGAAGTCCATTATATGGAGAAAAATCCTGGAAAGTTTTCATCAAAAACCTTAATTTCTTTTCAAATGAAGAAAGAAAGACATGAACATCTTGGATGACATGGGGGTGAGTAAATTATCAGCAAAAGTTTTTTTTTTTTTTTTAAAGTGAACTACTCACAAGAAACAAACCTCCAAATTAAGTTAGAAGAACTTCAACTTTTTGATTTTGTACTACACAAATGTTACAGTAATTGCAATTTAATTGAAAAAATGTTCACTAAACTAACTCATACGGTTTGGTTGCATAAATATATTAACTTTCAGATTCAGCGAATACCCAGCATAAAGGGTGAAAATGTTAATAAAGGGATCGTAAAACGAATCCATATTAGAGCAGAGTCCAAAATATCTGAAGAGACACAATCACTTTATATGATAACCAGATCTCGAACATAAGCAGTAAAGGTTTGCTTGCTTTTAGTCTGAGAAATCTCAGACTGGCACCATTATGATGAGGAAGACATTAAAAAGAGGTTCTTTCCATCTCATAGATATGGCGCCAACTGCTGTTTGTGCATAATGCAACATTTCTATTAAAAAAAAAAATAGAAGAATAGAGGAATGGTGCAACTCAGAGAGGATTTGTGGCTAATGGGTAGTGCCCACATGGGTTCGAACCCCATTCCTTTTAAAGGTGCACAAATTTTCAATGAAATTAATTGATGCTGGGTTGTTTTGATCATAAACTGACTTATCCACGTGCATCTGAGGAGCCAAAACATGTCACTCATTTCTGTGTAATTGATAAGCGCAAGTTTCCTGCTGAAATATGTGCTTGTAAAAGTATAATAGGAATTAAATACATAAGGGTAAACACCTTATATACATAAAGTATGCCAAAATGTTGCAGAGTTTGCTCTTTTATTTCTTTTTATTATTTAATGCTTAAGTGCAAAGTGCATCGTCTGCATTTGTTTTAATCCATGTTCTTAGATTTAACACAAGCAGCAGCTTTGTAAAGTACAAATCTAATAATATATAATGAGAACATGCTTAAAAATGTTTATGTCCCACACCAAATCTCTCAAAAGAGTAATGAAACTTGGCTTAGAACATGTAGATAAGCAGTAAAAGTGTGATTTGCGAAACCGACAAAAAAATGAATCATGCCAGGCCAGTAGGTGGCGATGTCACTTTGTAAAGAAACACTATAATATAGTATAGTATAAACACATAATATGCATGCGCATGACCTCCCTGTTTTCCGAAAAAAAATGATGTGTTTTGGCCTTTCATTTACACAAACCCTGGGGGCCTGAAACGCAAACTTCCAAAGCCGAAACCGATATCATTGTTGTTCAATGTAAACTACATAAACGTGAATTTGTTTTAAAAAATGTGTTATTTAAAGGCAAGGGGGTAACCCATCAGCCGGAAACTGAAGCCTCGCGGGAGCCGCCATTGTAGCAGAACTTCACCTGCTGTTAGCATCCCGTTGACTCCTATTCATTTTGGCATCACTTTGACAGCCAATAACTTTACATCTGAGGCATCCAAATACTTCATTTGTCCATTATTTTTTTATTTCTAAAGAAACACGACAATGTATAAAACCCTCCATTACTTTGTATCTTACCTTATGGACCCTTAGATGCCATTTTTGTAAAAAATAGGCTAACGATTGCATCATAACCATGCAACTTTCTGTCGCACAATAGAGACATTACCGTATAGACAGGAGGAGAAGCAAACAGGCTATCTTTTACTGTCTATGAGGCAATCAGGGGGACATGGAGGCACAAAGTCAAGGGAGAAGCCCATAGATGGAGAGTCCATAAAAGCAACGGGACAAAATATTTCAACAACGATTTGGCTTGGCACAGCTACTAGAAGATTTACAATTGTCAGACTGCCGTCACGCTCAGTTTGAGCTCGCGCAGTCGCTTAGACATCAGACATGAAGTGCAATAATCGGGCTTATAGGTGCACAACAGGTTTCTTAAATGCCGTTACCACCAGGATGGCCGAATGGTTAAGGCGTTGAACTTAACATCCAATGGACAGATGTCCTCGTGGGTTCGAACCCCACTCCTGGTAGAACTTTATAACCTTTAAACACAATGTACTACACAGATCCACGAGTACGTTATATTATCTATGCCAGGCAGTTGGCAATGTAACTTTGTAAAGAAACACATCATACTACCTAGTTTTTAAAAAGGCTGCTCTGAGGTATAGATGTGGTCATTTGAACAACTTAATCAATTTCCTCAATTTGAGGGAATTTCCTATCTCCATGCACCAGGATGGCTAAATGGTTAAGGCGTTGGACTTAAAGGGATAGTTCACTTTGAAATACATTTTTGCGATGTTTTAGCTTATCTCAAGGGCATCCAAGATGTAGGTGTCTTTGTTTTCCGCAGTATTTTCCATTTTGATATTTTCAGGTCAAACCGCTCATGTCTATCAGTCATATAATGGAGGTCTATGGTCACCACCTCAAAGAGCATGCACAGAGAAGTCCACCATAGACCTGCATTACATGACTGACAGACAAGAACGGTTTGACCTAAAAATATCAAAATTGAAACTACCGTGGAAACAAAGACACCTACATCTTGGATGCCCTTGAGGTAAGCTAAAACATACCAAAAATTAATTTCAAAGTGAACTATCCTTTTAAGATCCAATGGACAAATGTCCATGTGGGTTCGAACTCCACTCCTGATAATGATCTTAAAAAGCTTATGCAAAAGCCCACCTGTTGTTAAATTGTTATGCAAATGTATTGATATTCAATAAAAATCTGCTTTGGGCTTCTACCAGTAGGCTCCCCGAGAATAAACAACTGTACCTTTCTGTGTAAGATTCCTGAAACAGTTTTGTTCCAACCGGAGTTTAGCCCCTGATTACTCATGCTTCGTTTTGCAATATCACTTAGTGTTAAAATTTGGTTTGTACTTTTCTTTTTCTTAGATTGCTACTGAACCTCCCAAAACATCACTGACTACTGTATCTGCGACCCCAAATACACATCACAAACAGATCTGAATAAAATGCAACTCCATAGTGTGAACGAAGTAACTTGCTCTTTTACCTTGCACAGTTTCTGATAACGTGGTGACGTGACAGACATTCTTTGGATGTGCTGTAGAAAAAGCATCACTTTCTGCAGTGAAGATCTCACCATAGCCATTATCTTCAGACTGCTGGGCTTCTGTAAGATTCTCATCCTATAGGATTGCCCCTCGTAATGTTTGCACAGTTAGCACATCATCTAGGCTTTGAAAGTGCATCCAAATACTCCAACAGTCCTGCCCAACCACTTAAGAGGTCATTTGCAAGTGTGAAGAAGAGAAAACGGCTCTCCAAAGCAGCAAACAAAGCCAGCACAAAGATCCGACCCAAGAGATGTCCTGTCTTCAGGCTTGTACTTTAATCTTCAAAGGGAAACTGAACAATGAAGAGAGGGGTGATTGAGAACCATGAAAACTGAAAGTTGAGCTATGGTGAAAAGGCTTGTTTCCTTGTCAGCAAAAACTCCCTGTCTGGATGAGACGGTGCTGAGCGAGAGAACCAGACTCTGAGTGAGTGGCAGAGAGAAAGAGAGGGAGAGATTTATGGAGAGCACACAGTATACACAACACAACACTGCATGATACAGTCTTTTTCAATCAAAATAAACATTTTTTCATTGTCAATTTTATTGAATAAACATTGCATGGATTTCAGAAGGTCTTATTTGATTTGTCTCGTTTTACAGAATCAGAATGGTTCATCTTGAGCTTCACGGGAAGCAATAACATCTGACTGTCTGCACAAAGAGTCACATGATCAAAGTCACTTTATTTGATAAAGTGACCTAGAAAAATGTCTTGGCTTCTTTAGTGATGATTATGAATTACACAGCATTGTGTAGAATACATTGGAGAATACACAAGCAACAAGTTGTGTTAAATGAATCTGAACTCGAATGAAAAGATGGCTGAATTGGACTTAAGATTCTTGTGTGTTTGAATTCCACTCCTATAATCTCCAAATCGTTACATTTATTATATTAATTGTACTTTGTGGGTAAATTTGGTATGACGAAGAAGCTCTTAAGTACGTGGTAAATCAATAACGCATTTAGGTGATTAATAAATTGATATGTCCACTTTTGATTTGCTAAATGTTGTCTATTTGAGTAGCACATTCCTACTCCATATATCACATGTATATTCATCATTCGATTATTTGCAGTTCTGCGACCAGAGTGGCTGAGTGGTTAGGGTGTTGGACTTACCCATAGGAAAAATGTGTTGCTCATCTGTTGTTCAATCTCATCTCTTGAGATCAATTTGAGCTTCTCATATTCATATCATTCTGTGATCATTTGTTTCTGAGTTACTTCTCCTAAGGGTCCCTTAGGAGCAAGACATAAGCTAGAAAGAGACAAGACACCAGTAAGACAAAGGAGGTTAAATTGAGAAAACCAATTGAGCAATATTTGAGAAGTGGGATAAACGGAGGAGATCTCATAATTGTATACCCCTGATCTCAATTATGTCTTGGTTATTTGAAGGAGAATTAAAGAGAATAACATGATTCAATGTAGTCTACAACCTTGTGGGTTCAAACTCCATGTCTGGTAGAAGCACTTTAATTGGACTACTTTGATGTTTACAGGTTTGTGTTGCTGTTGCTGAGAAAAAGAAAAGTTTTGCCTTTGCGGTTTTCACAGACGACAGGGTTGTCGACTATCCCCATTCATATGGATCCACAAAAACAATTACAAATGCTGTATTATGCTGCCAGGGCAGTAGGTGGCGATGTCACTGACCAAAGAGAAAGACGACGGAAAAGATGACAGTAAAGACAGAGCCCGTCTAACGGAGAGCCTTGGCACTTCCTATTAGCCCCATTGTGTATCATCCTGGTTGCAGTTCCATTAGAATTCCACTGGAGGCGAGAGCAGAATGAATGGGAGTCTATGGGGCTAAACGGCTAAAGGTGTCTCTTTCACCTGCTTGTCGTTAAATCAACATAGATTTTATTGTTGATTCCGCAAGTTCAATATAGATTATAGGCCAAAAGTCGAATGAACGAGTACTTATGTCCTTTTGATTTCTTACAGGTTAGGCCGTTGTTGGCCGGAACACGCTAGCATTCTGCTATTGTGTGACGTCATCACATTTTTGAACAGATTTTTAGAACAGATAAGTGAACTTAAAAATGCCATTTTCAGCTGAGTGTATTATCTTAGCCCTCCCCTTTTGAATGCAACTTTCAAATTACTTGACAAAAAATTACATCCTGAGAAAAGTGGATTTATGGGGGTGAAACCCCATTGACTCCCATTCATTCTGCACTCGACCACGAGCGCCCCCGCATGGACAGAGACGCGTCACTGCAGCCAGTCCAGAACCCGGAAGTAACCAGACAGTGCCAATTTTCTTCAATTAGGGCCGTTACATAGTCAACGCATCGGTACGCATACGCGTCCGCATGGCTATGCATCGCTACGCTTTGGCCGCCATTATGCGTCGATGCGTAGCCAAATGTGTCGTCCTAGTTTTTGATACGCGACGCACTGATGCACGCAATACTATACGTTATCGGTGGGGGCGACATTGCAAGAATTGTACATTAATTCAAATATATCATGTTAACAGAAGAAGAAGGTTTGAATACAATGGCGTGCGAGGAGGAATAATTATACGAGCTTATCCCCGCATTTAATATCATCCGCATTTATACGACAGTTCATCACAATTAGTACACTCAAATAAAATTGCGTTGGAAAATGCCTGGAGAGAGGTTGCAATCGCGATGGGAAAGACAGAATCAGGTGAAAACGGACTGGAAAAGTGCCCGTGACAAATTTACCAGCCTGGTTATATGAATTAATGATTTATGGATATGAATTAATGAATTAAAATACCAAATTAGTTAAAATGTGTAATGGTTTTTACATAATTTAAATAATACCAAATAATAAAAAAATGTGTAATGGTTTTCACATAATACCAAAAAAGTTAAAATGTGTAAAGTGTTAAATAATAATAAAAAACTCATGCTTCAAATCGAACTTTTATCAATTTATTTGTCAGTGCTACCCAATCGACACTGTATTGGTGGGGAAACACGCCAGCATCTGATAAAAAGTAATCAGCCAGCTGCTCCCTGACAAGTGCCGCTCTCCGGGAGGGTCTGCTGCTGCCGACCGAAAAACCGTTGTCCTTCGACCATGTTCTGGTCCCCCACAACGTGCTGCCTCCACTCCACTCTCCAGGCTGGACCTCTCCGGTGTCAGGCGTCGCATCCACAAAGGTGGAGGGCATGTATCTGGCACGTTCAGTGGATGCCAGAAAGTTGTGGAGAGCCACGCACGCCTTCACGAGCTTCACCGCTTTTTCAGGTTTGCAGTGAAAAATCTACTACCCCCTGTTGCGTGACTGATGTATTGCATTTTACGCATCGCCCGTGACGCTTGCGTCTGCTTTAACACTATGAAAGGAAGAGCTTCGCTCGCGTCACTCGCGTTGCTTTCTCGCGTTGCTTTCTCGCGTTGCTTTCTCGCGTAGCTCGCGTTGACTATGTAACGGCTCTTAGGCATTCTCTGGTAAAGACCACAGGACAAGACTACATAGCCTAAACAGAGGACATTTCAACATATAGCCTAATTATAAACATACCGTAGACAAGGACAAATTAAATGTTTAGTATAATGCACAAAGCATTTTTGGCACAAATGGAACCTCATATTTTTCAGGCCCTAAGATAGGATTTCTCTTCACTGACTTCACTTTAATTAATCATTTAAGGGGGCAACTTTATTCAGTTGCTTATGGTCAGGTTTCACAGACAAGGCTGAGATTTAGCCAGGATTAAGCCTTAATTCAATAAGACATTTAAGTCGTTTTTATTAATGTGCATCTTGAGAAAAAACAATGGCACTGACACATTTTAAGATATGCCAGTGCAAGTTGCTTTCAGTTAAAACAGCTCAATAATGTATTTTAGTCTTGGACTAGACTCAAGCCTTAGAGTATTTTAGAGTTTTCGATTACTCCAGTTACTTGAACATCATTTAAAGTCCCTGTAAAGTCAATTCTACAAAAAAGTTCTAAACATATTATAAATGTTACATATGTATTGCTAAAACATATTACAAAGTCTGTGAACTGTGAAGTACTGAAATGTGGAGTTAGACCGTTAAACAGTTTTTCACCATTGCAATTTTACGGATTAATTGGGCGGGGCTAAAACAGGGCTCCGTGACGCACTGGAACCCATGAGCTGAGCTGAGCTGAGCTGAGCTGAGCTGACCCCCCCCCTCCCCTCCCCTCCCCTCCCCTCCCCTCCCCTCCCCTCCCCTCCGCCTTGCATGGACATGCATGGGCTACTACCTGGATGCGATCATGTACAAAACAGATCGGTATCTTCATTTAAATTCCCTTAAAAACGATCACATCAAGAAGAGGTTTTTAGAGAGCCTAACGTTACCTTGATGAAGAGCTGAGGATCACCCCCAACACCCGCCTCTGTAGTGATCGTTTTACACTGGATCGTTTTATAAACTTTCCTCAGAGACAACTTGGATTCACTGATAATTCACTGATAATCCGCTGTTACTGGTGAACGGGGCCGAAACGACGATCTCCCGCCTCAGCTTTCATCCTCCCGTCTCCAAAAGCTAATCAGCTAATTGTCAACAGCTTTCCCGTGAGTGGGCGTGGTTTCAGCACAGCCAGCGGACACGCCCCCAGCGTTTGAGAGCAGAGAATATGCTCATTTTTTCATGATTTTGATAGCTTATTTTATGTACTTCCCGACTTTTTTTTAATCATTCAAATTTGGCTGGCTGGCTAATTACACATTTTTATGTGGTGTGACAAACTCAGAACACATACTTAATTTTGACTTTACAGGGACTTTAACAGACAAGAGACTTTCTGTTGAGACCTAAAAAGTTAAATTCTGACATCTATTGGTGTAACATGGCAGCACATCTCCAGTGTTGAACCTGATGGGGAAAATGTGACTTCAAATAGACTTTAAATATTAATAAATTTACTTTTTATTTACTTTATTATTGGGAAACTATTTAGAGTATCAATACTTGTTGCCTGCCTGCACAAAACTAACTTTTAAACTTATAGAGTCCTAAAACACTTTGATTAGCATAAAAAAACAACAGCAACAACAACAAAAAATCCTAATGTTTTTATTTTTCTGATGTATTTCAATCATCTTTTCCTTTTCTATTTTGTTTTATTGCTTTTTATGTGTTTGTTTTTTTGCATTGTATTATGTACAGGATTTTTTTTTTTTTTTTGCATTACATATGATCTATGACATATGATTAAATGACTGACCGAAGAAATAAATAAATACAATACAAATACAAATTATGCCAGATAATTTGTGTGTGCTTGCTGAGAAAGACATTATAAAGGCATTCATACATGCCAGTGCATTAACGTTATAGGCCTGTCATACACAGATGCCGTGCCAACTGTATTTACAATTACAACACA